ACCTTGATGCCAGTTAGTATTGATTGTACGGGATAAATCGGGAGTCAGGCAGACCGTAAGTTTCATGAAATTGTTGGATCTTCTTCGTGTACTGGCCGAATTTTATGACGTCGTAGTAGAATTCGGGGAGGTACGTTGCAGCTGCCAGCCTCGGTCCGGGTATATGGCCCAAGGGGTGGAAAGGTGAAATATTCCATGCTGCGTGAATGACCTGGTAAATTAAGTAGGCGATAGCGAGAGTGGAGAGAAGTGAGGTTAACGAAATGTTTTTCGTGATATATTCTGAGTGATGCACGAGAGATACTATGTAATTTTGGAGTGCCATAGTAGCTGGGCTGTCGTGTGGACATCCACCACCTCACAAATAGAATACCAGGAATAGCTATATTTCAGCATTTATATTTCCAGGATCATTCCACGGGCCCTTATTATAATTAACGATATCATTTTTCGTCTCGGCATTCACTACGCTTGCCAAGCGGGTCTGAACGTCTCGGCAAAGGAGTATTAATTATAAGTAGTTGTGTCGTCCGAACTTGGAGGCCTGAAACTTCCTGTGGATTTGAGAGTACGGTGTAATGCTGCTACTGGATCAAGAACCGTGCTAGACATAGCCGAGATGGTGAGTTGGCGCAAGCGAAGATGTTCGGCCCTGATCCTTCCACCAATCTAACGGCAGTCAACATGTTAACCACCTCTAGCATTTGCCGATTTGCCCTTAGATATGCGGCTAATCTGCCACTAAAAATGACACGGGCTACTACCTCCTTGGCGGAACATGCTCCTTACGGATTCAATTTGCTAGGCAGTGTACCGGTCGGAATCGTAGCATCTTCAATCTAGCGAAAGGCCCAGAAAAGCGAAGCCCGATCAGGTACTTAAATCAATACACAAGGGACCGTAGCAAAATCTGCCGGTAAACCTTCCTGCCGAATAAGTGTTTCTTTAGAATCCAAGAATTGAATGTACACATTAACCACACGAGTATTGCGCTCCACAAACGCAGAGTCGCATCAACAAAAGCTCATCCTATCCCTGAGATTATGTAGGAAGCCTACCCCACTAACATAGGTGCAATGATTCAGAGAAAATCTTGAGAAGTGACAAATGTTCTTGGGGGCATGGCAATGAGCCCTCATCTGGATGGGATATACTCCCCGTTTGCATGCAACTTGAAGACAGTATGGCAAAGCTTGACTGGCATTACATATGGTTCGGTCAGGAAATATATAATGTTTGGAGCTATTCTTAGGTGACTGTGAATTATTGAAAATGGCATAGCGCTCAGAGTGGTCCGCAGGTCGGGTTCAGGTTTAACTTCTAGGACCCGCTTCCAACCCAGCTCTAGGTTGGCAAGTGGAGGCTCACCTATGCTCACTAGTATTCCTGTTTGTCCACAGTTGCTCAATTCGCTCTTGAAGATTGTATGCCACTAGCTGTGTTATCAGATCTTGGCTTAGGTGGGGCTTAGGTATCGGTACTTGCTGCTGCTGCATGTAACCCTGTTTTTGCAGGGGAAATGATGAAGATGCTATTAGAGAAATTTCAAGCTCCAATCAGAGAAACTGTGTTGATTGAAGCTGCTTGCAACGAAGACCTAGGCGATAGACCTTTGGATCAATTTCTTGAAAAAAGGAGGTCCGAGTTTCAACTGACTGAGAAGATTATCAAAAGGCTTCTTACGAAGAAAAAATGATTATCACGAGCTCATAAGACATTACAGGGTCCCAGAAACAGTCCTTGATCCTTCCTTCTATGTCGACCCATACTCGATTCAGATTGCTGCAATTCTGTCCAGGTCACATTCTTACTCGCAGTTCGACCTTTTTCTTTCCAGATATCGACCTGCCAACCCACAGGACCTGGCTTTAGAGCTTGCTCAAGAATGCAACGATGTCACCCTGCGAATGTTTCTCAAACGATCTGGTTCCGAAATATGCCTGTCAAAGGATTTATTGACGAAGGCCGCCCGAAACACGCATTGCAGAACAAATATTCTCGAGGTCTTCATTTTTTGGTGGAGAAAGTTTAGGGTAACCCGTGGCAGTTACTCCTGATTTAGTAGCTGCTGCTGCTGCTGCTGCTGCTGAAAACCCAACGTATGGATACGACTCTGTTCACCTGCTACGGACACGACGCTCAGAAACTCCATTTGTCGACTCGGGAACATTATTGGCCGCTGTCTCAAATCAAGCAGAATTCTCTCTCAGACTGCTCAGGTTACTCTTTCGATGCTCCCAAGATTCACTTCCGATCACCACCGAACTCCTCTCCGCTGCTGCAAAAAACTCTGCCCATGGAACGGAAATGCTGCGATTGCATCTGACTCGCCTTGAAAAGCAAGGAGATGACCAAATCATCTTTGAAGATGTGCTAAAAGGTGCAGCTGCCAATACTACGATCATAAGCAAATGGGGCGATGCCGATTACATCTGGAATTCCCCTTTGGGGTTGCTCATCAGCAAAAAAACGCGATAGGATCAAAATCACAGAAGACGTGTTAGCTACAGCAGCAGCAAAACCTGCAAATGGGAGACACTGTGTTCTTCTCCTTCTGAAATACGCCTAAGGAAGACCTACGATAACCGGGAATGTTCTTTGTGCGGTTGCTAGAAATCCGAGACAGGGTTATGACATCTTGATGGTTCTTCTCCATCACCCACTACACCAAAAGGTTGCTATATCGGAAAATGTTCTTACAGCAGCAATAGCAAATGATGGATATGATAACCGGGATAAAGTTGTCAAGTTTCTGCTCAGTCACCACGGTGCCCCAGCTCCAGTTTCAGAACGTATGATTCTAGCTGCGGTTGAAAGTTATTGCGAAAGCAAGAGGAAGATAGAAATGCTTCTAAAGCAATACCAAGGTCCTATCTGCATTGGACGACACGCTACAAGAGGGGTCACGAAGATTGGGAGGCCCTATCTGTCGAAAACTCTAGGCGCGCCAAATCCACACAGAAGTCCCCGGGAGGACGAAATGGCATGCTGTGCGGCGGCTGTTCATTCTTTTTGTATCTTGCTATTTATGGCCTCTTTCTCTTCGAGACACCAAATGAGTTGTTGGTGAGTTTATCTGATTCCAGAATGCTGATAGAGCTTACTCTGGAAATAGAATGTCTAAAGGAAAGATTGGATGGCTTTGCCTTTTAGTGTAACGTGATCAATGAAGCCGATACAACCTTCGGGGTTTGGTAAGAAGTACCTCATACAAACATTGATTGCTACTCGTAGGAATGTTGGACTCCTCCGTGCTAATCTCTGTCATACTGGTAGTCTCGTAGTATGTTTGAAAAACTGAAGTGTAAATCTAAGTAGCTTTTTCTTATCCGAACAGAAACATTTAGTAACAGCAGATTTACATAAAGGACTGCAATTTGATATTCAGAACGTGTGACAGAAAAGACTAGATAGCTTTATATATTCTAATGGGAGAATCAAACGTTGATCAGATTGGGCGATGGGACAGCCGGAATCCAGGCTCTACTGGCTATTTTTATGACTCATACATGCACTTATCAACCTAGTTAGCTAATCAAAGGCACTTGTAACTAGAGCCTTAATAGTCTTAGTTGAACAACGCCTTTGTCGGGTGATTACTGTTCCATGTTCAAGTTTAGGTGGCAATAAGGAGGTTATACATTAGAAGCTTCTAAGGATGGTTGTTGCAAGGCCTGTACAATTAAAGGCTGATTCTTATCCTGCAATTACAATAGCCCGGAAATAGGAGTTAACATAAGTGAGTATATTTTATATCATTGGTATTAGATTTTTGGTTAATGACTGAACCCCACCCTCCCCCCTCTTCTCAGTCACCCCTCAGTTAGAGTGACATGCATTATACATTCAGGAGGAAGTAGGTAGACTTCAAATCGTATGACTCATTCTTGTATGTGTGGTCTAGTTCTAGAGGCTCATAGGCGTCTTTCTCCGCTTGTCTTGCACTTCGATCCTCTTATTCTTGCATTGTTATACGTTTAGCATCGACTCGGTTGGTATATTTCCTACTGTGATTCCACACGGAATGACCGGAACTTCTTGCAGATCGGTTGATAAACCCAATTGACCCACTGGCCAAAGAGACAAAAGGATAGAATGGAAATGGTCTAATACGAACCAAACACGAAAATTGCTTCGTGTGACGTGTTTCTACCAACGATGTACTGTAACTCTGGGACAGCATATCTCCGCTTCTCATTCATTCTATGGCCGGTTGGAGATCGAGTATATAGCTCTAAGATGCTCACTTGCTGCGCACGGAGCGCTCAGCACATGCACTTCTACCTTGCCCCACACTCTGCAATAGCCAATGGACAAGGGGTCTCTTTCCACACCTCACTAGGGATGCTCTTCAGTTCTTGTTCTTCCTAACAGTCCGGTTAAATGCGTGCGGGGCAGTGCGTACTACTTTGAAGGAGCTGTGCACCAAGGCATTGTGCTATCATACATTCGGCACCTATTGTTGACTCTACTTATTTACTACCAAATACGTTACATAATAGGTGGTTAGCCGGATACTAGCACACGTTTGGACTCGAACCCAGTTCAAGGCATGGGAAATGTCATATTGGTTAGGTTGCGATCGAAATAGCTGACAAGGTCCGTCCCGATATGGTTGTCCAATCGTACCGTGTAGAAATCTCCACTCTAGCACAACTGTCTGGTGGGCCGCAGTAGTTCAACTCCATGACTCGCTGATTGAAATCCGACCTACAGAAGACAACTCAGAGCGTTGTAGTGATTGACATACTGCTCAGCTACGCCTCTCTTCGCCCCGCAACAGTAACCGTATGAGTGGAGCTGGAAAAAGATCGGGTCCAGTAGAAAACTATCTTCAAGAGCTGAATAGGGAGTGGGGAGCTGAACATAGGACTATTGATCACCGTCTATCCTACGAGAACAGCACAGCATGAAGGTTCAAGGCCTCGAATCCGGCAGAATACTCGGCAAAAGGGTGTCTAATGGGAATATATAAATTCCATCATTTCCCCCTTCATGATCGGCATAACACTTCAGTCTCTCAGGCACATCCATCAGTTAATCTCCTTCCACCTCATCTCTACATCAATAAATCTTCTATCAATATGCCCAACACTCTTGGTAACGGTGAATGGCTTTTAGTTGGCCAGAGCCTTTGGAGTGAGAATGGCGAGACGGAGCTCAAAATGCAGCACGATGGGAAGATTGCGGTTTACGTGAACGCTGAATGTGTTTTCCAGAACACAGCCGACCAGAGAAACGATGTTAAGGGGATCAAGATGCAAGAGGATGGGAACCTTGTTATGTAGTAAGTTTACCTCTTCCCTTTCCCCCTTTGTGTTCGAGTGTCCTCCGCCGCCTTCAATATAATATGTGTTTGATTATAAGGCTCTCTTTGGTTAACTTGTATACCACTATTTAGCGATGTCAACGGCACTGCCATCTGGCACACCAATACCGCAGCACCAGCTGGCGACAGCACAACTGTCTGTGCTGTGCAGAATGATGGTAATATCGTTCTATACAAGGGCACACCTCTCTGGGCCAGTAACACTGGACATTAATTTCTTCAACGTTAAAATGTCCAAGGGCTCATGTGATACGACAACGAGAAGACTTGGATGATGGAAAAAACGGACGCTTGGCTTGGGGGTTGTACCCACTCACTGCATTATGTACATATGAATGCAAACAGACCCTTGAACAATGCTGAGTACCTTGATGGCTATAGGTCGGCGGTTTTCCTTAGTACGTAAGCCCTATTATCACCGTAATGCAGTAATACTCATTATGATATATCCCATAACTGAAAGACTTAGAAGCACTCTTTGATAGACACAAATGATGGTCTGTTTTTGCCGATGCTCAGTTTATCCTGGCCTTTAGGTCAAGTTCTCCTAATTGCTGCCACGTAATTACATCGTTGAGAGAGGATAGACTCTAGTACCGATTCAACACACCAACAGCAATTCTTAGCGCTGGGTCTAATATTTTGTGGCTGACTGGTGATCTCAGCTAAAGGTTCCCCTCTTCCGATCTTAGTGCTTGTGCGGGGCACTCTAGAGCCTAGGGGCTCGAGAGTAATCCTACACCGTATTCCAGAATTACTAGTATAGTCCTGTTATTAAGAAGATAACCTATAACATGAGACTATATGAAATCTATCTATGGGAGATAACAATGCCCCAGCACAAAAAGAAGCAATTGAACCTTCCACTCTTCACTGTTAGAGAGTTATGCTTATACGATTCAGCCGGTTAAGAACCTGCTATATACAAAATAAAGACATTAGCAGAAGTATTACAAGATCTCAAAGATAATAGTACATAATAATTAGATTCCGACTCTGCCAACTCCTTAAAAGCCCTGAATTATATTATTATATCTAATCGATGTGAGACCTTGGCACTATATACCTGTCTCATTACTTCCTGGTTGTCCCATTACTGTCACCTATATCTACAGCATCGAACCAAGTCACCTGACTAATCTGTGGGTAGGCGGTCCTTTAGATGGGGCCTCGATTGTTCAAAATAGTTCTGCCGGGTGGGTTGAAGTTCGGTGGCCGACCGCCCGCTTGATCGGGATAAAAGACCCAGCGTGACTAATGAAGAGTTGAGGATTACTCATCATTCCCGACATTCCCGACACAGAAACCACGCCACCTATCAAATACTCTCGACATTCCCGACAGATCTACAGAAATGCCAATGAGATACACCGATAATGCGTCTTTCGATATCCTGTGAGGCTTGTCGGTAGGTGGTGATAAGATAAACCCCAATTGAGTAGATTAGTAACCACCATTGCAGGCAATCAAAGGTCAAGTGTGTCCATGACGGTCACCCTCCCTGTCGGCGGTGTCAACGCCTCAATCGCCAGTCCTGTGTACTCTCAGACCCGCGGTCGTCGCCTTTGCGCCCTAGACGAGACTCATTGCGTGTGCAGTCAAAGACAAGACCAACCTCAAGGTCAGGAGCAGACAGCTGTCCCGTGAACGGAAACAATAACAGGCAGTGGTGTCCAGTTGCCACATCTTCCAATCCAATTGCTTCAATTCCCTCGTCTGTACTCATCAATGCCTGTGATATCTATCGCAAAAAGTTTCCTGTGGCCAACTTTCTTCATTATCCGTCTTTGATTGCGGAAATTTCCACAAATCCCTCGTCGGTGGATTCGGTATTTGTGGCTTCATTGCTCGCCCTGTGTGCGCGATTCCTGCCGGGACATCAGCTGCAACCTGGAGAAGTATACGCCGAGTATGCGCGAGTGCAGTTGGCTCATCGGGCCTTTGAAGGCCCTTCTCTTTACTTAGCACAGTCTCTAGTGATAGTTTCATTATACGAATGGGGATCGGGCCGTCCGTATAAGGCGTGGATGTACAGCGGTATGTAGTATATAGACTATGCATACTCAGCTGTGTTGAAGGTTGCTTACAAACACGAGCAGGAATGGCCACGTACATGATTCAATCGCTCCTGAAAACTGCAGACGACAGCATGGAACACAATCCAGACGAGTTTCATGCCTCCCAAATTCAATACGAGCAGCTGGTCCGCACGTACTGGTGCTGCTTCGCCCAAGACTGTGAGTTGAGCTCGGGTGCCCGTCAGCATTTCGCCCTATCGTTTCGCCAAATATCGGTACCACTGCCCATTGGTGACCATGATTTCAATTTTGGTCGGCGAGCATCTCGTCGGCTGATGCCTGCTAATCTCACACGAGACTCCCCGCTTTCCGCTGCGATGACCATTGACCACGGCTTGACCATCGTCACGCGCGGTTTTGACATCTTTGTGCGTATTCTGCGCTTTGCAAACGAAAGCCGTCGCGGCCGGACATCATCATCGTTGAATACCGAGCTATCGCCTCAGAAAACATGGGAAAACCTGAAAGAGGAATTGGACGAATGGCGGTCCCTGCAGGATGTGACGGTCCGGTATCCAAGTACGAGTGCCCAAGCACATGTGGCTCTGGGATACGGGGAGCTTTTTGCCTACATCAACTTGGTTTATTTCATGAGGTATGTTTAAGTATTAAATTATGCATCCGCTGATACAAAGGCTAACTGGGACGTCTAGCGTCCTCTTTCTCCATCGCGACCGCGTGCTATCGAGCTTAAAGCTTATGCATGACCCGCATCATGACCCGCGGGTCGCAACGAACTTGGAAGAATCTGCCTGGTGTGAGGCCGCGATTGAAGAGCTGTTTGAAGCGGCCCAGAACATCGGTGGCATTTTGTCTGCCCTGGAAGCCTCCGGCGCGTCAGTAATTACTCCTTACGCTGGCTTCAGCGTCTTTGTCGCCGCTCATATCAATATGTATGGCACTGTTTCGCCACGGGGTTACCCAGGAGGCCAAGAGCGGGCTGAGCGAGAGAAAAGAGGCAATTTCACATATTTGGAACGGCTTTGTGACTTCTGGCCAGTCGGCCATAGCTGGGTATACTTAACTGGTTTCCCTCGCTATACTTAGCAAGCTGACCGTTACTAGTGGCGGACCGTACAGGAGGCCAGCAAATTCTACGAAACCGCAAAAAGCAACCACGAGCATACAGCTTCTGGCGATCGCCCGGGCCATCTCACTCTAGCCAGCACACTGGATGAGTATGGAGATATCCGTTGTTCGCGCCCGCGCCATGACGTATCTATTTCGCGTAGGCGAGATACATCTGGGAGGGATGCTGCCATGCCCCAAAATCATGGACCATCAGGTTGTCCTGCCCACGCGAACATAACATTTAGTGAACAGGTCATGCTGGATCCACATGAACTCGAGACGGAAATGATGCAATGGCCCTTCATCGATGAGACATGGTCGTCTGGGTTTGATACGGGATTTGATGCTGCATGGCCGAACCCAGGCTAGCCAATAAAAGATCGAAGATGCAGTTGGTTAAACGACCTTAAGGATGACCAGGATCTACCTTACCAAAAAAAGAAAAAAGCAGTTTCGTGCCACATGGTAGTCTGAGTGGTGCTGAATCCAAGCTGTGTGTGAAACAAGGCTTTCATTGGCGCGATTCATACGGCAGATTTCGGATGTGACATACAAGGGTTATAACACTGACTGAAGCTGCGAGGCGGCAATAAGCACACAAGCATTTCCAATGCAGAGGCCAGTGGGTCGCTACCAGCATCCGGTTACCAAAGAAATTCAACCTGCATAGCCAACAGGGTTGCTTAGGTTAGGCCATGCGCTTAGTGAGCGGCGTGTGACACCTGCGCGCCAGAGGTGACATCCTTATCAGATACCAAGTACAGCTAGATCTTTCAGCTATGGTATAAAGTCAATTAAATACTACGTCAATTAAGATTGGTGCATATCATCATAATCAGCTAGACACACTATTTGATGTGTCGGTCTCTACGAATTGCCATCGACATGTGGGTGATAACAACGGCATGCCACAAACTTAAGCCAACTACGCCTCAATAATTCCCTGTCCATCACCCTCGCAGGTTCAGAAATTAGTCATTTCCAGACCAGCAGACCCCAATAAGTCTGTGAATTGCTGGCGTGTGCGCTCGAGCCCGGAGCAGAATACCCTCAGAGCCATAGATATAACCCCCCTACATTCAGAGGCAAGTATCAGTACGTGCTGAGACCCCCTCGATAGTGGACACAGTCGCAGATATAATTCATTCGTAGCCTGATAGAACATAGGCGCTAAATGCAAGCAGGTAATTAGATTCCTTGTCACCTAATTTCATTGTGTGCGCATTGTGTGCCCCAGCTGGCTAACGCAAGTAAGTGTCCATCGGAACCTAACTTGTCCTACTGTAGTAGGCTGGAGATGTCTTTACTCGTTGAAAATGAGTACTGCGGAACCGCCAACTGCGGGATGAGACAAGCTAACCTATAACCTATCATGATCTGGGAGTGGGGGAGAATCCTGGCTATTCGACCGTGGTCCTATCATAGGGAAGCCTGACTTGGTTAACAAAAAAACAGTCTGTTTATTTAGAGGATAATGAAACTAATCGATATTCAGCCTGTGGGCCAATGGTAATATCTTCCGGTCTAAGAGTACGTCAATCTTTCTCTTACCCGTGTCATGGCGGAGGCATGACTCGTAGATAGTGCATGTAATATTCTAGGAGATGAGAATATGTTTTCACTAAGAGTGCAGACTGACTGATGCCGTAGTATGACAAATACCGCCCCTAGAGTGTTTTGTTCAGTCGGTTGTCACCCTGCCTCACTCTGGCTCTGGACATAAACATCACTCTAGGAAGGAAAAGTCATCGCTCACCAAACCGCTTTCTGCCAAAGCTCCTCCCTCATTGGAGGCTTCCTCTCAGATGCATGCCAGACTGTCAAGTGAGGCTGAGCAGAGAAACCCCCACAAAACCAGGAGCACAGAGCGGGAGAGGATTGCTTCGGTGTTACAGCAACGGAACCACTGGAAATTGCCGGTGGCATGGGCCACTCGCTAGTATCATGCGAGGGAAAAAGACCAGTCTTAGATCTCCGCTTCCCCAACTTGCAGCACGGCCCAGGGACGTGCAACAAACTAACCCCTTTTCAGGCCCTGGAGAGGCCGAACTTTTTTATTATGCCTTAGGAGCTCAAGAGTCTTTCATTTTTTTTTTTTTTTTTTTCATAAAACTGAGCACAGTTAACACAATATTCCTCTATGTGATGTATGTGCATGTCCACTGGCTGGCTATTTAGCAGGCTCGGTAAATAACTGATAAATCCCTTGAATCATTATAGTCATAGTCAATATCTCCGTGTTAGTTCTTCCAGGATACACCGTCACTGCCCATCTGACAAACTCTATATTGAAGAAAGTTGACCTAGCTTATGCTAGGCGCCCATCGCCTACCATATCATGATCGTAACCGACGGGTAAGGCGTCCAAGCCCCACTAGACGACTTCGCCATTCAGACCCAAGCTCAATCTAACCTATTATGGGTTCTAGGCGCCCGATTACAACCTATAATCTTTAGACTAGTACCTACATTGTGATTCAATTAGGTTGAGTTATACGGGGTTAGACCGAAAACCTATGTGGCTTGGGGGTTTGGGGCCGAACCTTGAAGCCATAATGGGCTTAGCCAAAGTTTACAACACCGGGAGTAGCAGGCAGATCGACAGACTAGGATTTACCAGTCAACTAGAAATCCCCTGCGTGGTTTCTGTTATGCTTACAATTGGCTATATTCACTCCCCTATCTTTAGAAAAATAATTCGGGAGGCCTTACGTATGTACATTTTTCTCTATGCGTATCTGATAGGTTACAGTTATTCCATGAAAAGGCTATACGGGTCTTGTTCTTGGTGGGCACGAGTAATACGAATATTGACAAATTTCGCGGCAGCTCAAGTATATATAAGCCCCTTCGTTCCCTGCTCTACATCTATCTATACAGCTCATCAACTCAAGATACTTTCAGCAAATCCAGTCTTATCTCTTACTTTGTCTCTTCTATCGTTTCTAATTTCAAGAATCTCTCCCTCGTCAACATGCGTTTCTCTATTACCTCCGCCGTCGCTGTTCTAGCTGGTCTCACTACCAGCGCCTCCGCCTTTGTCATGACTACCTACAGTGACATTCATTGCAAAGATACTGTCCAGGATGTCAATGTTTGGGATAGCACCTGTGCGACTTGGCCTAAGGGCTTTAAGTCATTCAAAATCACGACCTGGGGGGGCACGCATCAGAGGGCGTACTTCTTCGCGCCTGGTAACTGCGGGAATCTCTTCACGGCCATTGGCAAAGGCTATGTGGATTCTACCACACATGACTTTGAGCTTGGAGGATGCTATAATTTCGATAATACAGCTATAAATGCAGTTGCTTCATACTCTGCTTGAGAAAATATACGAATTCAACAAGGTAGGTAGGTCCTTCTATCACGATGGTTGATATGGTTGATAAGAAGCTAACTGTACCTTAGGAGGATAATGGCATTGTGAATTGTTGCACGGGGGGGAGACATCGGAAAGAAAGAAAGTCTTCATTTATTCCAGATAGAATTCACCCTCTTTTATTTACCTTTCTCTATATCAATACAGTATGTTGGACTTGAAATAATGATATAGGCAATTAAACTCTAGCTGCTTCTCCCATTCACTTTGGTGTTTTGACATTCATCCAGAAGAATACTTTCATCAAGATTTAATGCAGTACTAGATAGTTCTCATGCTGATAAGATTTGCACATATACAACGTTGTACCAACAGGAGTGGAATGTCCCAGTAAACATACTTGGTCTTTAGCCGAAGGAAGAAACAAAAGGGGCAAAGGAAACTAGAGTAATCTCAGCTGCCAACGTCAACTCTAGTTGCCGGAGCTGCAGAGTACCTTCCTAGCAGCACAGTGAGTCTTCTTTAGTAGAAGACCTATAGGCAAACCAACAGAATATATTCAGAGTCAGGATTAGAAAAACGGCAGAGAAAGTGTGATGATGATTAAAGTGAATTTATTCTCTCCAAGCAAGCTAAAGTCTGTACCTTGAATATCGAGGACAACTTCCCAGACGACACCTGAGTTCTCAATGATAGGGCTCTCGAAATTCGACTCTCGATCTATGGCAAACACGAGATTGATGACGGGGCTATAGGTACAAGATTGCAGCACAGTTCTAACAAACAGCACTTGAACACATATATACCCGTCCACTTCCACAATCATAGATTACATGCTCCGCTATTCCTTGTTAAAAAACCCGCCCAGTCACTGGACCTTCCGTAAAATACCTCTATTTCCACGCTTCCTCGTAATACAAAGGAAGAAGGGTGGAAGCTTTCTGGAATATACCTCATGACCCAGGCCACGGAACATCATGTATCAATCGATTCGAAGTATGATCACAGCGTCAAGTGTGTATCTTTTTCGAGGTGGTGAATGGAATCATCTGGTTCTCTGTGGCTTGTTGTTCATTACTATGCAGGTACAGTTCATCTAATGGTAGTGTTTGATAGGAGGGAGATCGTGATTGTTATGATAAGGCGGGTGAATTGTGCCAAACTGAGATTGGCTGTATCCACGGCTTCCAGATATATGGATATACTTGTTGGTTTCTAGTCTACTCGATTGTCGGCTTGTCAAGGATAACAAAAGTATGAAACGGTAGGGAAAGAACAATGATACTAAGCAATAGGGGCTATGATTTAGAATACCGTTTATATAGCACATGCTGCTACATTATTAGTTGCGTCCTTCTCAACCAATAAGGATGCTGCTGGGAGATATAGTTCTTACTTACCCTTGCTGGGCCAACGAATGCTAATAAGGGTGGTACAGAGCGCAATTACATGATAAGCATGTGCACTACGGGCTTTACCGTACTATCCAGTGGGTTTATGATAAGCAATGAATGATTATTGCGAAAGACTATCTTAGCAGCCGCCTTGCTAGCGATTCAGCTCGTTCGTAAATCCGTTAACATTCAAAGTCCTTTGCGTCTAACGCCATCAGTAAAAAGGGTTGTGATGGACCAGCCATCATATTACAAACTATCACTCCTCTCGCTGCGTCGAGCCGCGCTGACGTTCCATGTCCGAGTCTCCCGGATCATGCCAGCTTGACTCGACTGACTATCCGCGTCCCAGGCTCGCGACGCGGAGACGGTGGTCATATTGCCCTGACCGGATGCGACGGGAACGAGCTCATGATGGTTGTCCGAATGATTCGGATCCGTGTGTCGCGACTGATCGTCCCGGGTCTCGGACCGGGGGTTAGAGGCTTTGGCGGACGTGTGCTGATACTCCACTCCCTGGATACGCAGTCCATTCGACTTGAGCTGATTCAGAAACGGTTTCAATTGACCCCAGCAGGCGGTGACAATACTCGCGCACTGGACCGTCTCGACCGCAATGGCCACCCCGTAGTCGTCGAAGCTTCGATCGGTGGAGTATGCAAGGTCATGGATCAAGACGAGCTGGGCAATGGATGCGAGAATGACCCTACAGGCGAACCAGATTAGCAATGCTACCATGGTAAGCTAATCGGAAAACGGCGGGACAAACAGAATTCGGGACAGGAAGATCGTGGCAAACACCGTCTTTTTCTTGAACGACGCTTGGATGCGACTGATCAACACTAGCGCCTGGAGGATGATCAAGATATCGGTCACGATGTTGGAGGCGCAGAAGTAGTACTGCCACGCGTTCTATCCGCCACGATTGGTCCGTCAGTAGGTGTCAGGCCTGGTGTATCAAAGTCAGGGGTGGTTTACGAGATCAATGCAGGTGCCGCTAGTATCCCAGGGTCGCGAGGCTTGGCACTGGAAGGCACTGCCAAAGAACGCGACAATCGCCCAGACGGTCAAAAGAATGTGTAAGATGGTGGCATGAAAATGGTCTCGCGAGACCGGCGTCAGGTTCCGGATGAAAACTGATAGGGATAGTTTCGAAAAGTAGAGACTGAGAATAAACACCAGGAATCCCGCATACTGTGCCTGTGTAGCGGACGAGACCGCATCAGCCATGGTTCTTCCTTCATCTGCTAGTGAATGCGACTGATTCCGTTCTAAAGCACACCTTCTGAATTACTTCCCAATGCGAACCATCGATGGTCCCAATATGATCTCCATAGCCGTTGTGGACGGCGATGGACGTGATGATCGATGCTCCGATGGCGAATAGCTACCTCATGGAGCGAGAATGTATCAGTTCAGTACTGTGACGTCTCGATAGCATGTCTGCCACACATACCAGTGATACCACGATCAAGTAATCATCACTTGTGAAGCGATGGAACATCCACAGCTTCGTGCCCAGCCTCGTGAGGACGCTGAGGACAGCGACCACGAGGAGGAACCAGTTGACTACATTGAGAATGGGAGCTCTGCGATCTTTATCGTGGAGGAAACGACCCATGGATACTGATTCCAGGCAATCTGGAGACCCTGAAAGTGTCGTCAAGGGTGGGGTGGATTACATTGACAAGGAGGCGGTTACTGTGGGAGAGGGTAAATTGATGAGAGCGTCTCTGGCTTTTTTTTTTTTTTTTCTTTTTGTATAGAATTGTTTCCGCTTATCCCACAGTGCGACTGCTACTCACGCGCATAATCCTTCACTCCTTCGTCTGCCGAGAAAAAAGCATTATGGGGGTCGGCGAGATTTGGAGGAATACCATTGATTGTTAGTCGATGGTTGGCAACAGGGGGGGTTTTTTGACAGTGGAAATTAGGTGGTTTTCTCGAAATTGTCCTCTGAGTAAGAAAGTGATAAAGTTTGATGGCATGCGACGGGGGGTTCCTTGTCGCGTGAGGCACCATTGCCGAGTCACGGATGTCACCATCAATTAATTAATTAATGTTTCCAAGTACTTCTGCCCCCAAAGATAATAAGACCCACGGCGGGCACTACCGACCGCCCTACCACGGGGCATGTCGGAACGTGGGTTCAACTTGGTTACATTGGCCAAGTCTCATGGTGTGTCCATTGGTCAGGCTTAACTTTAATCTCCGCCCGTGAGCCGAAAGGCTTAGTGAGTTCTTATCGACTATTTCCAAATTGTACCTCCAGATATATACTTAAGGTTGACTTTCTATCCTTTTTAAATTACATGGAAAATCTATACTATAGAATCATACAGAAGAAAGGGTGTTTTATTCGTATTGAATGGAATGTTTGATTAAACAAAATGTCTCAACCCCTCGTGGCGTGTCAACCGTGGACAAGGATGCCTCTTTAGCGTGACAGGGATTCTGGCCACTGAACGCGGTCTAGCCGTTTGACTTGACCAGGATGATTATCAACTCATTCATCTCAATCCTGGCGTCTGAATCAGAATTTTACCCACCGGTGCACACTAGTGGCCATTCGAGCATAAGGTCCGAGTAACACCTGGCACGTTTTTGACATCCCCTAATTAATTTTCCCTGACAGTGAATGTCACCCTGATCGCGTTGCGGAGGGGAAATAAAATCATGGCCACCACGACTCTCCCATGAAAATATCGAACGATCTTCTCCTCCTGTTCGCTCTGTCAACCGTGGTAAGTGACCTGTCCCAAACACCTCCTGCAAGCCTTCCTTAATATCCATCTGTTCTACATTCTATGACTATCAAACAACCCAATTGCAATCACCTGTGCACGGATCAACTGCTCTACATATCACATTGACTAACCCGATTGATCGGATCCTTTGGTAGATAGATTTCTCTCATGGTGAACGCCAGTCACAATGACATCGTATGAACTAAAAAACCAGGTACCCGCCAATAACGAGGTCCGCATCTCGGGAGGCTATTCGGCAAAAGATCGCGACAATGCTGAGCTCGTGCGCTTGGGAAAGAAACCCGTGCTGAAGGTGTGTCTCCAAGTTGGGAAAGGTAAATCTACCGTCGGAAGCATACTAACGGTCGCTTCCCATCGGTAGCGAAACTTCGGAATCTTGTCAAGTCTCGGCTTTAGTTGTACTATCCTCGCCACCTGGGAAGGCTTATTTGGGTAGGTCTCGCGCCCTATTATGTGTAAGAGATAGTGAACACTGACGCGCGCACTCTAGTACCTTCCTCATCCCTTTGCAGAAGTTCGTGCCCACACGATTCCCCGATCGTTTACCATTGACCGCGGTATACTAAAAGAAACTAGTGGAGGTCCGGCAGGCGCGGTCTACTCGTTCATCTACGTCTGGACGGGAACAGCATGTTCCTTCACGGTGCTTTCGGAGCTGGTCTCGATGTGAGTCAGAATCATTCAACATCTGTTGAGCCATGAACTAAGACGCTGATGGTTTGGTAGGGCACCAACGTCCGGAGGGCAATATCACTGGTGCGCGATGCTTTCCCCGCCGAGGATAATGAAGTGCCTGAGTTACATCACCGGTAGGTGTCCCTTCTGTTCGCTATTGATAAGAGTGAAAAGGGCTGACCAATCTGACCAAAGGCTGGGTGACAACCATTGGCTGGATGTCTGCCTTTACCAGTGCCAGCTTCTTGGCAGGCACAGAAATCCAGGGCGTCGTGACTCTCGCGCACGCAAATTATGATCCCAAGCCATGGCAAGGCACCTTGATCATGTGGGCAGCGATATTACTAGCCCTGGCGATCAACATTGTCGGAGGAAAGTTGCTGCCCAGATTCGAGACCCTGGTTCTGGTCGTTCATATCCTGGGATATTTCGCGATCTTGATCCCCTTGACGTACATGGCCGACCATAAGTCCAACCAAGAGGTCTTCAAGGAATTTGTGAACAGCGGTGGGTTCCCGACAGACGGGCTGGCCTTTTTTGTCGGCATGACCGGATGTGTTTTTGCTTTTGCGGGTGGTGATGCGGCGGTCCACGTAGGTGCTGAAGCGTTCTAGAGATGAAATGCGCCAGGCTAACGGTGGCAGATGGCGGAAGAAGTTGCGAATGCCACGGTCGCAATCCCTCGCGCGGTTCTTCTGAGTGTGTTAATTAACGGGACCCTTGGGTTTACCATGTTGATCGCCACCCTTTTCTGCATGGGTGACGTCGACAAGGCCCTCAGTACCCCTACCGGGTATCCGTTCATTGAAATATTCTACCAGGCCACCGACTCCATCTCCGGGGCGCTAGGCATGAGCTCGGTCTTACTCATCATTGCCGTCTGCTCGGTCATTGGGATGCTGGCGGCCACCTCGCGACAGCTTTGGTCGTTTGCCAGAGATCGCGCGGTGCCCGGTTGGCGCTTGTGGAGTCATGTATGTGTGATGCCTAGCAATCAGTCGCTTCAATGATCGACCCAAACTGACGCTCGCTTCAATTAGGTTTCCCCACGGACATGTATTCCGACCTATTCCATTCTTCTCACCATGACCGTTGCCGCTCTTCTTGGACTCGTCAACATTGGATCCGATGTGGCCCTGAATGGTATTATCTCCATGGCGGTGTCGGGCATCTACCTGTCCTACCTGATTGTCGCAATTCTGCTTCTCTACCGGCGTTGCACGGGTGAAATCTCTCTGTTTAGCGACGGGGAGGACATGCTGGTCAACGTACCCGGGGCTAAGCTGATGTGGGGGCCCTTTCACGTTCGAGGCATCTTCGGTATATTGATCAATGGCTACGCGGTCATCTATATGATCATTGTGGTGTTTTTCAGTTTCTGGCCCAGCCAGATGTCCGTCGACAAAACGACGATGAACTTCAGTGTGGTCGGCACAATCGGGACGATTATTCTGGCACTGATCTACTATGTTTTCCGGGCTCGGCATGTGTACACGGGACCCGTAATCGAGCTCCATCGGTGAAGAGGCCATTCTCGGGAGGGGGGAGGGTCAAATGTACAGAAGTCTTCCCGTTTTTGCTAAGGTGATGTCAAAAGTTGATCTTGAGTGTGTCTTACATTAATAAAGAATCACTCCTATCACGAGATACGAGAAAAATATAATGCATCTTGTTTAATAACTCTGACCATTTTTTTGTCCTCCGTTCCTATCTCCTTTTTGTGCTTGCAGTGTGCAGTTTTATCCCATATATATGTACCGCGCAACCTGGCATATCTGAATATATCTGAATATATATCCGAATACAGATACACCGCGCCCATTTTTCAACTATGTTAGATCAATCAAACTTAGCAAAATAATTAATATGAATTGAAAAAAATACCATCAAACTTGTACACATCACATTCTAACTAAATAATGGTCCAATGCAAACTTAGCACTAAGTTGTGGACGGGAGAAAGCAAAAGTAAAACAAAGCAAAACTCTAAAGCTCGTATGTGGTGGACTTTGGTGCGCCAAACATTACGATCGACACGAGTGAGCACGGACCAGTTTAAGCAACAACAGACGACGATCCCCCTCTTGTTCATGCAAGCATCTAGTTATAAGAGGGTCGTATCCTTTTCTCCCGATCGTGGACCCGCCCTTAATTATCGACTTAAAATGACAAATCATGGAGAACCAGAACAACGCCTCCCCAGTCCACCCAGATAATTCACTCCAAAGACTAATCAACGAAGACACATTATGGTTATCCGCGGACGAGAACGGCCGAACAACAGTCCACCTGAGCTTGCAGTCTCATCCTCCGAAGCTAATTGCAATTAGACTGCCACCGGGAGTGGAGGAGGGACCCCCGAATCAAACAGCATGGCTACCACCGAACTCCGCGGATGATTCCTACCGTCTTGGACTGGTCCAATTACTGATCGGGAGTGGAGCGAAGCGGGGAGTTGCTGACGGGGTGGATGTAGGTATTCAGGGTGCAGATAACTTGTGGACGCCGTTGGGTGTCACTTCTCCTGATGATTACCGGCCACTCTTAGATCTGCTTTTTGGGGACGATTTCAGGGCCAACAATGAAGATTCTCGAGTTTGGGAATTAATCAATACTGCGTCGGTATATGGACATGAGGCGATTGTGAAGTTTCTGATCGAGCGAGGTGCTGATATTAGCGTTCCCTGTCAGCATGAGTGGACGCCGTTGCATTCTGCGTCCAGTCATGGACAAGTGGAAATTGTCAAGTTACTTCTTGAGAACGGGGCCGATGTGACTTTTATTGGGGATGACGGGTGGACTCCGCTGGCCTTAGCATCTAATAAAGGACACACATGTGTTGTGCAACTACTCCTTGCCAAAGGCGCGGAGGTCAGCGTGAACGTGGCAAATGGCTTCGGAGTCACGCCATTGCATATGGCCGCTAATCAGGGTCATACTGAGCTCGTTCGACTCCTTCTGGAGCATGGGGCTAATGTGTCCGCTGTTGATAGCAGGGGCTTGACGGCACTAGATGTGGCATCTTATAGTGGGCATATCGGGATCGTGAAACTGTTGATTGATAAGGGTGCTGATTTGTCTACGACGGATGAGAATGGTTGTACGCCACTGCATTCCGCTGCCGAGAATGGCCAGCTTGAGGTTGTGGAGTTTCTGGTGGATCGAGGTGCGGATGTGAATGCTGTTGATAATGATGGGCGTCCGCCTCTTCGATGTGCTTCCGAGAACGGTCATTGGGAGGTTGTTCGGCTTTTGGCTGAGAGGGGTGTCTGATGGCTTTTCTCTAAGTCCAAGAACAACGGCCTCATTCTACTTTTGCTGATCTTGTATTAATCGTGCGGAATTCTTTTTTTTTTTTTTTTTTTTTTTCAAGGGCTTTCATTGGCTTACATCCCATGTCGCTTCGTTGTATTCGTTATCGCTAACATATTCGAATGGAGCCAGTCAGCGAATGACTAGTACGGCATTTTGGCGATATGACAAAGAATGATGGTGATGTGAGTCTGATAGTATGGAAGCCAATGCGTTGGCTTTACCCAGCATGTTCCGACTCTACTTTATGAGAGCACCACTTACTGCATATCGTCCATCATATACCAGGTCAAGTAGCCCAACTGCCGCAGATGCAATTCGATAAATTGAGTGTGGGTATATATTACAACATCTCTATCTACCTCAAATATACAAGAAAGGACATTCGCAACTCAAACAAAACAATCACGGTTCATCCCCCCTCACCCCCGGAGTGGGATAACTTGGTCCATACGCAACATGCTCCAAGCGAATAGACTCAGCCGTCTGCCTCCGACCCTGCGGCACGATCTCCCGCGTGCTCGATTGCCGTGAATGCAGCGTCGCATCCCGATCGGTGTTTTCCGGCAGTGAGACGGTCGTCTTATTCTCGAACGATAAATTGCTAGCAGCCTGTTCTGCTGCCACGGCAGCCTTACACCGGTGGGTCATCGCGAAGGGGACGATAGCTAGACAGGCAATCCACCAAGAGAACATGATCGGGAGAGCCCGATACAGTTGGTCCTCGCAACCGTCGCTCCAGATCTGGACGAGGACCTGGTATAGCTCGTGAGCGGGGAGGGCGTATCCCCAGCGATAGAACCCGGGGCTAAGTTCGAAGGGACTAATCGTGCTTGCGACGTTGATGATCGCCCAGGTTAGGATACAGAAGGGGAGGAATTGCATGGGGATAAACGCGGTGAGGATATCGACGATAAGGAAGTTGATGTGCATGTACAGCCAGACGCTCATCCAGGAGAGCACGAACTGGTTGCTATTGACGTCCCAGGATTCTCTATATGCCCAGATATATCCCGCCATGCATAACGATCCGATGAAGGTGTAGGCGAGGGAGACACACATGCGGAGGAGACCGTTGCGTTTAGGTCCTAGTTTGGTGTAGAGGTGGAATTGCGCTGAGATTCCGTTTAAGGCCATCATGAAGAAGAATTGTTGGATAATGGGCATCACCATTGAGACAGTGTTGTATAATACCCGGCCGCCTTGCTCGGTGACCTTGATGTTGATCTCGGTTGCTTGGATGGGGTCGAGGAAGGCTTGCAAGCTTGCTGGGTTCTTGGAGAGGGGTGCAGTGGCGAGGACGTTCGATGCATTGCGGGAGTAGTACGCCGATTTCGTCACCTGGACCAGACTCATGATGCTGGAGTAGATTGCACTTTGCGAAAAGGCCGGGTATCGTGCTCCGTTCCAGATGTACGTTAGCGAAGTTCGGTTGCCGTTGCCCGTGGCCAAGGCAGCGGATAAATTCGACGAAGCCCCGGGATGGGCGTAGACTGCGCCCCAGTAGTCGCCTTTGCAGACTGCGGCCTTCACATCTTTTGGAGTGGGATATTCGCTGGCGGGTGACTGGATAAGTGAAGGAAATTCGTCATTGCGCAGTATTCCGTATGCATCGACGACCGATTGACCGACCACATCTCCGTCGTAGTCGACGTAGAGCATCTTCAACCTATGGAAACGGGTGCTGTCGCGATATTGTGTCCCATATAGGTAGCACATATTACCCAAAAACAGAAGCTGTAAGAGGGCAAAGCTAATACCCAAGGCGATTAGGAAACTCTTGCGCATGTCTTTGAAGGACCCTCCCGCTGGGGAGGCTGAAGTCGCTGTCATGGCTGAGGTGGTGGAGTGATGTAAACACAATCATTTTACACTTGAAAGTGGATGTGGATTACTATTTATTTATCTACAGATTCCCGAACATCCCCTTTGCCTTCTAGCTTTTTACAGCTCCAAAGTTAGAAGTCCGATCTATTGCATCACCGTTTTGGGCTCAGATAGGGTTCCGCTGACTATGTATAGAATTAGCCAATGAGAGCCCAAGAATAACATGACTAAGCGGAAGAATCGCCCTCGGAAGAAAAAGGGGCATCAAATAAATGCCAATAGTGGCGGATCGTGAATTCGACGGTCTTCCGCCGCCCCGAATGCCGAAAGGGATGTCTCTATTCTCCGGCTGTTCATATACCACTGATCCAATATACCTCGCTTGCACTCTCGGTGGGACTGACTTATATGTCCGTGGTACATTTCATAAGCCCGAGAAATGCACAGAAGATTGCACGGTGCAAATAAGCCGGAATGGCACGCACCTTGCGAAGCTGCTGCGGGTAAAGATGGTCGGAGAGGGTTGATACAACCCTACATCTCAATCTTCAATAGGAATTTTCCATGCCAAGGTTTCAAAGTACTACAGTGGACCTGAATCAGACCCCGTCGTCAACAATAGTATTTGTAGATTTTGCTTCCGTCGTTATGATGTCAACCAGAGCCCCTCAAACTCTGTGTATTCCGTTGTACAATGGACTCAATTTACAGTTAACAGAACTAGATGACTGGTTGGAAGTTGAAGGTGAAAAACTATTATGGCTACCTTCCCACTATGGTGGTTATTCTTCTCGGGCTATCAGAGACGCTAACCTCGCTCTTGGCTATCCGGATGGATGAGCCTTTTATCATAGGATTCCGTGGGCGTACCTTTTGACTTTCTACTGATATAAATCAAATGGACGTACTTCAAAGTTATTTCTTCATTTACCCACTCAAAAAGAGGATCTGAGATAGCTGGGTGATATATATACTCATGGTTCCAAGTTTGTGGCAAACCTGCTTCGATTTATGAGCGGAAGATTATGATCATTACATGAATCCGAAGACATACACCACCACAACCACCACCACAACTATCCATGATAATCTTCACTCCAGCTCCTTAATCAGACCCTCAACAATTCCCTTGGTAAATCTCCACAGCAACGCCGAATCATGCGCATGGAACGCAGCCCCGGAGTAGAACGTATTCCTGCGCCCCTGAAGCGCATACAAACTCTTATAAAATCCATCCCGGATGGCCTCCGACGCAACATGCACATGATACGGCGTATGACTATCGTAAGCCACGATCTTGGTCTCCAGATCCAACCTACCCCCAACCTGCTGGCGCAGTATATCGATCGACCGCAAAATGCCATCCTGAACCGCCTGGTCTGTCAGGGGAGTCAGCGATCCATACTCTACAATATACAGCTCCGGAGCTTCAGTACGCGTAATCCGGTAGAGAGCAGGCAGTCTCGGCTGGCCGTAGATCGTGTCCGACGCGATATTCTTATACATAAAGCTCGAGGCGGGGAGACCCGGAATGCGCACGAGCGACACATAGTATCCGACGGCACGAAACTGCCTAAACACAGACTTTTCCTCCTCGGATAGGTCATACCCGTGTAAGTGATCCAGTATTGGGGGGATGGTGTTGAGCAATTTTTTCGAGCGGATGAGTTTCCGGCCTGTCGGGGACTCCACGCATATGCTGACGCTTTCGGCGTCACGCTGCATGTGGGATACGGTCGTTGAGAGGAAAACGTTGTCCTGGTCGAGGACCTCTAGAGCTTTTGCGAAGATCTCGTAGTTGTTATGGTTTGCGGTGTATATGAAGTTCGTCCGCATACTTTCCACAACGGGTGTTCCGACATCTTTGAAGATGTATAGTGCGGGCATTGTCAGGATATCACCCTGTCCGGTCCAGAGATTATTGACAAAGCCTTCCAGGCCATATTTCTTGACGATATTTCCGAATGGGCGATATATATCCTGGGGGACGGGATTAGGGAGCTCGGTGCCATACTGTAGGTAGTCGTATTTAGCAACCACGTCGCTGTAGGCGTCGACAGAGGCTTCGACTATGGATTGGTTGAAAAGCTTTCCTCTCTTGAAATCGAAATTGATGATATCGCCGGGTGAGGGGACGAAGGCTTTGGTATAAGGGACATTGAGACGCTCGAAGAACTCGGTTACGACGTCGAGGTCGTTCCATTGGTGGACTCCATAGTCGATTGTCTGGTTGGTCGTCGGATCGACGTAGGTGTTTGTGTGGCCTCCAAGGATGGGCTTGCGGTCGATGAGGGCGACGGACTTGCCGAGATCGTGGAGCTGGATCGCAGCATAGGTTCCTGAGGCGCCGCCGCCAATGATGGTTACATCTCTATGTATCACTTGCGTTGTATTGCAAGAGAAGGGTTGAATGGCAGAAGCTGCAACCGGTAAGAAGAAAACGGTAGAGGAATATGAGGTTTGTAGCTTCATTACGGGGTTTATTAGGTGAAGGATAGGGCTCAAGCAGAATATGGGCTGTTTCGGGGCGGAAGAAAGTGTGGTGTATAGAACTGCAAAAACGAATGGCAAGCTGGTCAGAAAGATCTCTCAGCATGACTCTGCTTCTGAAATCAGCGACTCACATTTTACCTTAAGGCTGTTTACCCTTGCGTCACTCCCACTCCCTTGTGTGGCGGCGGCAATGCTGAATGGCTGGCGTGTCGACCATGTTAGATGCACGCGCGGCTTGGGTTGCCTCACACATGGTCTGCGGCAAAGCCTCCACTAACACCATCGTGGCTGTTGCTTCTGGTGTCAATATGTCAATACTCAGTGTGAGAGTCTAAGACACGTTAAGATCGACAGACACATTCAAGAAAAGATTTGCCCAGCATTGTAAAACATATAGTGTGTCAGAACATATCACACTCTTTACAAAGTATACGAAAGGACAATCCAAGCTACCCTCAACCCTAAAAGTCTAGATCCCAAACCGCCAGCTATCTTCCTCTCCTCCTTAAACCCCACAATCCGGAAACTTGACCGCAATCCTCGTATTAATAGCCTCCCACTCAATGCTCCGATCCCCAAGCAACATCATCTCACAATGCTCCGTATGCTCGTAAATCCCAATATACCCATCGATGGCCTCCCGTCCGCCACCCCCCAGCACCGCCCGATGCATCTTCTTCCACATGGCCGTACAATGACGTAGATGATACTCCCAGTTCACATACAGCCCCGTATATTCCCCCGTCATGATCTCCTGGTGGCCGAGTGGAAGCGTACGATTTGGGTCGAGGTACCACTCGAGCTTGTTCTCGCTATCGAACTGCTGCGAGAGCTCGGCGTCGTAGCAGGCGTCAGGGAGCCAGCAGAAGGAGATCACGTCGAAATGGCAGCCGGCTTTGCGGGCTTCTGAGGGCGTGCTGCCGCAGGGCTTGTGGAGTTTCTTTGGGGCCGGAACAAGAGCGCGTTTGATGGTTGGATTAGTGACGGCGAGGAGGGTGGTTGCGAGAATCCCGAAGAGGAGGGAGAGGAGGATAAGACTGATGAAAGCTGGACAGGTGAGGAGGAAGGGTCGCGTGTATTTCCGGTGTTTCGGGGTTGGCTTGTAGTCGTGGGAATGGTTGTTGGAGAGGCCCATCAGGGGCGCTGATTTGTCGTCGTCGGCGTCGTTGGCTGCTCCAATATCATGACGGCGTTTTTCGCTGGCGGATAGCCGTTTGACCATGAAGATCGAGGCGAGGGAACTCATGATGCGGGACGTGGTGGTGTTGGCTGGCACTATCTGCTAGAGTTGGTGAGTATATTCATGCCAGAGAAGAGGGAAGATGGGAGGTGTGTAGATACCAATTGCTCTTGGTCATCTTTCTCATGGGAGAAATAGAGGAGCTGGGGTGTATCGATCTTAGGGCTTGGTGGAGAGCATGGCCGCGGGCGTGACGCCGATAGTGGGATGACTTTACGGGCGGCAAGACCGGCGGGTCTTGCTGTGCCCCCAGACCACTTTTGCACCAGAGAGTACGGTGGCATTGCGTTTTTGCTTGCGACCGTACATACAGTTCTATTTTGGATATCTTCTTGTTCATTCAAAATATGGTTTATTTTGTTAGTTGTAGGTATTCGTGTCTAGCATTATGATCCACCCCAAGCACGACAACTCCCCCCCTCCTTCCAAAGCCAGCCATTTGTAATAAACATGACCACAGAACAAACATACAGTTATCGCTAGGCACGGTCAGTGGCATAGTCCCAAATAGAGTCCCAGCTGCGGCACTCATGCGGCCAATCCAACCCATCCACCACTGCCTCACCTGAGATCTCCGTCACGAATTCCAAGGAAGTATCACCTGCGCACTGCAGAGCCTGCCGAAGGTAATCCAGACAGTGGGAGATGTGCCACAGACCGTGGATGGCGGAATGATACGTAGGCGAGGTGACATTCTCCGGCCACTCGCGCAGTAGTTGTTCGGGGTCTTCGCGACCGAGAACGAGGTCCCAGATGAACTTCCTGACGGCACCCTATGGCTCTTAGTGTTAGTTGCAACGAATAGACCAATTTGCTCAGGGACGACTTACCAAGCAGTGCAATTGGTGGAACACAGAAAGTCCAGCTTTAGTGTCGGGGTAGTCTGCAGCCTCTTCCGGAGTGAGCATAATGAAGCCGTGGCCGTTTGCTGTTCTCGTCAGTAAAATCCCCCGCAATGTCTTAGTATATTGTAAGAAGCACATACGACCCGGTAGATTCTCCCAAGCTTCATTACTTTCCGGTGTCGGAAGGGACAAATACAGAGGGTTCATTCTGAACGTTGTCACCTCATGCGGAACTGTTTCGCCTCGTCAGCTCACTGGTAGCATTCACGATGCGAAGTACTCACAATCCGGGACAGGAGATTTCAGTAATCTCTTCGGCTTCGGCTGTGGCCAGGTTCTCGAGTATACCAACGCAAGAAGGATGAACAGTGCAACGTTGAAGACCACCGAGATAATGAACTTCTTCCGAGCATACCATGGTTTCTTTGACTCGGTGGGGAGGGTACTGATTCCAGATTCGGAGTCACTGGACTCACTCTGCTTGAGAGAAGAGTATTCCATCTTCTCAGTTTTGGGTGCCGTCCAAAAAAACATGTTGGACATTTTGTGTATGGTTTGTGGAGGTATACGACTGCAATAATCGGAAATGGAGAAGTGTTGTTGGGGACGACATAGACCCTTCATGGGAAATCATAAAGAGAGAATGAGACAAGGGGATTCGACTATACGATGGTCGAATAACAAGATTGTGAAAAAAATAAATTAGGATAATATTTGCCGAAACGCCGGTCCACCATGAGCCAAGAAGCATCAGGGCGTGACGCCGATAACGTGCAGGAAATCAAGGCTGCACACTCCACGTACGGTTGTAGATCACTGTAGCCACTCGCCACCAGGTCAAATGTTTCTTCCCTTGAAACGTTTGTTCTCGGGGCTTCGAGATTGCAGCATCCTTTGATCAAAATACAGAAAAGTTCTGGAATTCTTACAATGAGCGCTTGGCTTTCCCAAATCGTACCGGGCAAAGATTTCAAATGGAAAACAGTTCGGAATGAGAGTGAAATTGAAGAGCTCGAAGATGGCGAGCCGACCGACTCCCTGCTGCATGAGAAGCTCTTGCGGCACAAGATGGGATACGAGCGGCGAAAGTCGCTCAGCAAGCAGCTTTGGTGGTTCTGTAGCTTACTGCTGAAGACATTCTTCTTCGGGTCTTGGATATTCCTGGCCTTGTGTCTCTGGATGCATCGCAAGGACTCAAGCTGTCTGCTTGGGAATGAGAGTATGTGAATTTCTCTTTATCGTTCTTTGCCATGGCGGGATGATAAGTAGAACTACCATGCTAAAGGACTCAGGAATATTTGACGATATTCCTATTCGACATGAAATGAAACGCTTCCAGCGCGCTGGCTTTCATGACGATCGCCACAATGACCTCACAGAATACGAAGGGGCTCCAAATGCAAAGAACAATGCGGCTTGGGAGAAGCTTCTCGCAGGTCAGTGTACCAGCGCATGTGTATCCTTTTCATGGCCACTCATTCAGGAATATAGTTGGCGTCGTTGGGATCTCCAGCCATGAAGATTCGAAGCTACCGAACGGAACCGCGCTGTCAGTGACGAATCCATCTGTGCACATAGTTGAGCTGGAAATGTTCCATCAACTCCACTGTTTGGTAGGCAAATCCTTCACTTGGTACCAGAGTATTTAGTGGCTCACTCTAAGAATCCTAGAAATGGCTTCGTGACCGATACTGGGAGCTTGAGGGTGTTGTGGAGAGCTCCATGGATGTCCCGCAAAGACAAGCACATTCTGGTATTCTTCGCCCCTGGTTCAAATCCTGTAGTCATTGTACCGTTACTGACATGCAACCTCTAGACCACTGCATCGATTATCTCCGACAGGTAATTATGTGCCATGGAGACATCACGCCTATCTCTTTCGAGTGGAATAATGGAATCGATGCGTATCTGGCGCATCATAGTACGCCGCATATGTGCCGTAATTTCAACTCCATCTATGAGTGGGCTGCGAAAAGGGATAACACCGGGCTTCGAGCCGATGGAAACCATAAGAATGTGGATTTGGAAGAGCATGAGATGTTTGATTGAAACCTCAGTTTATAGTATGGTTCATTCTAGCGATACAATTCCAAACATTACATCTGAATTTATACAAACGCCACAGATCCGTAGAACTACTTTATACCTCCAAGGTTAATGTGTGAATCAAATGTAGCTATGGTGTACCTGGTTCATAGAGTCTGTAGAAGATGGGTTTATGTATAGTACATCATTGAAGCGCTATAGGAGATCTCTAAGTCGGTCTCAGCGTCATACACTCAAGGAGCTAGAGGACATCAGTACGTAACAAATCTTAGCATAATTCTGCTAAGCAGCACAATAATGCCGCCAATATATGTAGAAGCCTCAGTTTACAAGCTCCATTTACATGAATGGCAGAAAGAAGCTTTACACCACCCCCTTCCGGCGAGACGTAGCACCTAGACGAACTACTCTCTGCATCCGTTACCCGTAACGCCAGCATCAGCCTGATTGACCATCAGCAGCCGCCATAACGCATGGACTGGCGTCTCGCTGAATGAAGCACCCAATAATAAACAAGAAGAGTGGTGACACCGGAGTAAATCCAGCGTCTCGCTCGGGATATTTTTCCACCTAGCGGTGTATGTCAAATCCATTCTCTGTAGGAAAGGGTAAACAGGATCACATAAAAGACGACACACAACTTGACTTCAGGCTGTTAGTCCGTCATCCTCTTCACAGATCCAGCTCAGACTGCTAGGAAACACCCAGTCCAGAAGATACCTTCAATTTCTGTAACAAACCAATCAGCCAGGACAATCACCATGCGCGCAGTCCACTGGCTCTTCATGGCTTTTGCCACCGCCATCATGGCAGCACCCGTTGAGCAAGCCCAGAGCAGCGAGAACAACGAGAAGATCTACAACTGGATCAAGAGGGATGAGGATGTTGCCGACAGCGAGAAGATCTACAACTGGATCAGACGTGACGAAAATGCTGCAGACAGCGAGAAGATCTACAATTGGATCAAGAGAGATGAGGATGTTGCCGACAGCGAGAAGATCTACAACTGGATCAAACGTGACGAAAATTCTGCAGACAGCGAGAAAATTTATAACTGGATTAAACGAGACGAAAATAGTGAGAAGATCTACAACTGGATCAAGCGCGAAGCTAATGCTGGCGAACACTCCGGTCACGGTCGTACGTTTCTCACGCCCCGTATTTGGATCTTGTCAGAATGAAACAGGCTAACTGCGATACAGACTAATCGCGCAGAAAGCTCTGCCTTGGCTTAAGGGTAACATTTGGTGGCGCACGGCGAGTAAGCGATATTCTTGGGGGCAAGGATCCTTAGGCTCGAGCTGAGAGTTTCCTAGTGGAGTTGAATAATCTTTCGGGGAATTGCAATTATACTTGCAGCTACTGGTACTTTGACGATCTGTTATTTTACGTGTGAGGAAGGTAGAATGGATCTGACGTTGACTATGATCCTGGTGGTCACTGCGTGATAAGCGTATATGAAGCATGTAGACATAATTATCCTGTCCTCGATCACTGTAGCCAAGGGAGTTGAGGAGTCGGTAGTAAGGGACATGCTGGAGAGATATATGGACATGCTGGAATTTGCATTTTAGCCATATGGGGAAAAGGTAACAATAAACTATACAGTATGGTGTCTGCCTCGGGGCCAAGGGATCCTGTTAGTACAGTGGTATTATTTGATGGCTATACTCCTGAGAAAGAGGTAACGAACGAGTGACAGAAACAGTATGTTCGATTATATGGGAACCAGACCTCTTCAACTATCAAGTCCAAAGTAAGCTACATTACAAGATCTACTTCTGATACATCCGTCGAAAAATGCTATCACGAGCCAAAAGGCTCCCCGGACTATCAAACTCCACCAACTTCCCACCATCCAGCAATGCAACCATATCCGAGTCCATAATTGTGTTCAACTAAAGCCAGTGTTAGTCATACCTCGAAGCGGAAACCAGAATATACATACCCGATGCGCAACGCTAATTATAGTACACCCGGCGAATACTTCCTTAATCACCTTCTGCATAGCGGCATCCGTATCGCTATCTACGCTACTCGTCGCCTCATCAAGGATCAGAATCCTGCTATCAGGCCTGCGCAATATAGCCCTGGCTAGGCAGAACAACTGCTGCTGTCCCTGTGACAAGGGGTGGTCTAATAGCACCGCATCAAGTCCACCACGACTTTCTAAAGTGTTCCATATCCCGATCCGTTGCAGGGCCAATATGATCTCCTCGTCTGTTGCGGTGCGCATTGGATCTGCGTTGTTGCGTATCGTGCTTGAGAGAATGAAGGGGTCTTGTGGAATGGAGACAAGTCGTTCACGTATTTGTTCCCGGCTGATCGTGCCTATGTCTACTCCGTCGATGACAATTGTACCCTCACAGATGTCGACCAGACGGAGTAAACTAAGGATTAGAGAGCTTTTACCGCTGTAGTGGATGTCATGTTAGCTTTTCAAGCTAGTATTAAGGGCGCCCTTGTGTACCTACCTCCCAGTTCGGCCGCAGAGGCCAATCTTCTGGCCAGGAGATATCTTTATAGTAACGTCGGATAATGCATTGGCGCCGTTAGCGTACTTGACTGATACACGATCAATCTCAATTGCACCAGTTTCGGGACACCTTTCAGGGAGTTCCTTGTTTTCGTCGGGCTTGTTCTCGTTCGGCGTCATCTTACTAAGCGTTTTGACACGGGCAATAGCACCTAGAGACGTCTCAAGCGAGGTCCAAGCCGTCACAAAGGTTGAAAGAGACTGGTTAAAACTCAGCACGTTATTCAATGAAACACCGATAAGCCCACCGCTAGTCGTGCTGCGCATCTCTATCGCCAGCGCCACGACTAAAACTGCCAACGCCGTAACCATGAGGTCAAGAACAAGGCTGAGCTATCTCTGGATACAGAGTAGTAAGTAGTGCGGGCGCTGTGAGTAGTCCAGGTACCAATTTGGATCTGTTTAGCAGGCGTCTGCCATGCCAGAGCTCGTAGAGTAGAGAGTCCTTCAAGTGTCTCCAAGAAATGTGAGTACAGCGGGCTTTTGTTTTCCGAGTCCAGGAACCGGAGCTGGCGACTTTTTTTAAGATAGACATGTTGAACGGCAAAGACAGTTAGAACAGTGAATGGAATGCTAAGAGCCATGTAGCTTGAACCGGTAGATATTAAGGCAAGGCGAGCAACACAATGAAATAGTGATGCTGTGACTGTGATCAATGCTCCCGGTAGGGCAAGGTCGACAAGGCTCATATCCTGGCTAAAGCGGGTTAGTGTTACACCTGTCTCTGTTGTCGCAAAGAACGACAATGGCGCGTTCATTACAATGTCTAGCACTCGCCTATGTAGCAGGACGGCTGACTTTGGCATTATTTCCAAGAAGATGATCCAGATGCACGAAACAAAGAAGACAGAGGCAGCAAGGGCTAAAAGTGCATATACTGACAAACGCATCGCCAGATGGCATCTGTCGATTTTGGAGTACCTTCTAAACTGTCGTCATCACCCTCATTATCACAGAAAGGAGAGACTATCAACGGTTCGAAGACACGGGTGTCCTTCATGGAATCAGACAACATATATTCTTGTAACCGCTGGAAGCATCCTAGTGCAGCTGCAATATGTGGTAAAACAGCTAGCAGTTTCTCGGCTGGAGCGGTCACCAGGGCGATAATACTCAGAGATGTGAAAGCTCGCACAGATGTAAGAGATTGGGAGCCTGTAATCTTTGCTTGGATCGAGAAGACAATGAATGAAATAACCGGTGACCAGATTGCAGGGAAGTTTGCTGCAGCGATTTATATACATCAGTCGAGTTCCATTAATATAGAGAGGGCTACCTAGTCCGTTAAGCCACATGATGCCCATGAAAAATGCACGAGCTATACGAAGCTCTGTTTCTCTTTGGTCCTGGACATTACGTGCAACTGGCCTAGCTAATCCAGCAATTTTTATTGCCTTCATTGAGCCTAGCATCGAGGATATGTCTCTCATACGTTGCTGGATGGACTCATTCCATTTCTGCTGGTCGGTTCCGATACTCTTTGCAATCCATAATTGACCAATTGCCCAGACTATACGACAAATCACTCAGACAATAAACAGACTCAGTTTTATAAGATGCAACATACCAGCTGTGATAATAGGCGGGGTCGCACAGACAGCACCAATCTGTCGGGCGAGAAGCCAGATGCCAATTCCGATTTCCACTAGACGCGCCCATATATCAACGATATTTTCAAGTAGATCAATGATATTGTCAATATCTGTACATAAACGGAAGTGTTTTGGTTAGTGAGACGAGTGTAGAGAAGTTACTATGGAAGCTCGGTAGCGTACCGGTGCTCATAAGAGTCAACGCAGCGCTTCCTGTGCAATGCCCGACCTGGATAGTTAGACTTTTATTGTACAGCAAAGCTATCATGGATCCACGGAATTTGGTAAGGACCCGTACAAAACACCGTCTATAGTGGGCTGCGGATATCTACAAAGATTTAGTGCCCGCATCTCCAACTCAAAATAAGAGACACATACCGCAATACCAAAGTAGATCAAAAACGTTGCCCCAATTAGCCCATATTTGACGTTTTTGTTGTGCGGTTCAGACTCATCCATATAGTTGATAGCTGTAGTTATAAGAAATGGCTGGGCGAAATTGAAACCAATCATACACAGGCGTGGTACAGCGACAGAGAATAGATTCCACCGAAGGATGAATAAGACCGCTTTTGGCAAGGCCATCTGCCCTTCGGGTTTTGCTGAAAGCTGTCAGCCTTTGAGAACAGGGGATAGTATGGGCTGGGCGCATTTACCGCGAATATTCCATGCGTCCTGCATTTCCCTGCCTATTACATCAGCCTTCAGACTAGGGTCTATATCGAACAAATCCTCGGTCGTGATCAACTGTCGGTAGCCCATCCGGAAGAGGGCATTCAGCCACCAAAAAAGGCTAAGGTTGATAATCCCGCTAGTAGATTCTGGGGGTAATTTACTGTATGGTGGCTGCAGATAAGCAGCCTTCGACCTGCTTTCGAGACAGAGTAAAATCGCTTTGATCCCAACAATAGCCGTTAGGACAGTGGCCATATTGCTCTGATGATTGAGCCATAATGTTCGAGCCTGTACAGCGTCAAAGAGGGTTGAGAACAAGAGGTAAACATTGAGGAGCGTAGACGGGCGTGATAACTGCCTATCCTCGACATATGTAAGGCATAAGATCAAGACTGCGTCCACTAAGGATAGCGCAGCTGCCGGCAGACTTGTCGAGGTTGCAAAAGGAGCTGAGCTCCATCGTATCAGTAACACAAATTGAAGAATTACATTAGCTATGGCAGCAATCTGAGTTGTGGTACGTGGCCAACTCCTTTGCTGCTTGAGAGCGATGTCTTTTGCTATCCGGATCACTGACTATTTTGAGGAGCCTCCATTTGCTCTTCACTGTTCTCGGGCGTCTTTGGACTAGATACGTTAGACGCAACGGAGATGCCAGTATTAGAAACGCAGAAGGAAGGATCGATAGGATGCTCTGTTCGAAGGTGAGGGTGAAGTCGAATGACCGCGAACAGCTAACTGGGCCAAAGGCCGTGTCGGAGCAATTGTCGACTCCGCCAACGAAGGGGCTTGCCAACACGAACTGCTCCCTTTACGGCAATACGCTGCGCTATCACCAAGCGAGAGTAAAAAGGGATAGGTTGGAATATCTGTTAACTACAGAATGTCGAAAATTACAGTCCAGGTACTCGTGGGCTGGCGCGGCCACCGCCACGTGACAGGGGTCCCTTTGTCCTTGTATGTTCTTTGTCCTGTATTTAACGTCTTGTATGTCTTCTATGTCTGCACACCACCTGGAACAAGAATGTAGAGGTTGCTTGTCAATGTTCTGTGTCTTTTCACATACTACTATGCTCTATTTTCATGATACTAGACTCTTATGAATTAGAAGACAATCAGTATATGCGTTCCCGAGGAGGAAGTCGGAGACCGTCCATGTTGACGTAGGATACCTGCCACCAGACAGCAAGTCCCAATGCCCGAATCGAGTCCATGATCGACACGATATGCAATATTTAATGTATGGATGGCCAGTCTTAGGTCAGTTCTTGGACATTGATCTGCCGGCTGTACCACGCAAATCCCAGGATCCTTCTGTACTTTGTGCATCACGGTCATCACATCGACATCGTACTCGTTCACAAGGGAAGGGGCCGGAGATGACCGACATATCTCGGTCATTCTACCTACAATTTGAGGCAGCACCTTATTCAGACCGCTATCCTCCTCGGATAACCACTACACATGTCCCTTTCGAGACCAATATGTGCGTATATGCAGCAGGATTTAGGTGCACTACCTGCTTTACCAGCCACAGGTGCCGATTGGGAGTTGTAACATGACCGGCGAGTCAGACACAGACAAAGCTCCATAATTACTTATTGTGATCAGAGTGTGAGCACGCATGAGAAAAATGCAGTCTTCGAGTTCTTGCAGGGCGGGTGGCTTTCCTATTGGCGGGATGCCAAGGATGGGTCAGAGCGGAGGAGTCGAGATCGGCATAAGACTTGATGCCAAGACAACGCCCAAGTACGCCGGCATGAGCGATGACTTGTTCACAGTCCTGACCACCATCCTCATTCGTATGAACGAGATGAGGAGAAGGCGGTTGTTCGACAACCTGTGACGAGTGATGTGATCCACACTACCTGTCTATCAAAAAGCCGGGAAGGCCAGTCGGTGGGGGTTTACGGCTGATTTGGCGAGAACCCCTGTATTTACTTGGTCGCCTTATAGCGCGTAAGACGTGCTGGGGCTGGCAGTGCTCCTCTAAGCTGCATGAAAATAGATACGTCAACTATGTTTGTACATCAGCACCAACTCATGCTCCCTTGTAAGATTTTAAGAACGGCATCTCTTGTATTATATTATTTACTACTTGGCCATATCATACGTAATGGATACCTACGACGAAAAGCAACACAGTGATCGATATTTCAAGGGCCATTTTGGAGGATCTGATATGCGATCAATGACATCAGCGAGCCCACCAACTGCAAACCGTCCGGATCGGACACAGTCTCAGGAGCCTCCACCCTTACAGGAGGCGTGCGGCTGTGGCTGCACTCGCTCACGAGATGTCATTAGTAGTAGAATATTCGTGACTTAGATTTCTGCAAAGATCCCCCTCGCCAATGATTTCGGCGCCACCATTCAAAAAAGAAGGAGCAGATTGGACATGGCTCCTACATTAGTCGTTCGGTGATCGATCGTGCAGGAATGGGTGATATACCACGAGTGTGTCTGGCACTCAGCAATAGCACAGGCACCTGTTTATAAAGGCCGTCAGAGAACTGGGGCCGAAGCCTGCTCAGCATCTGCAGGATGTATGCAGGCCGTTCAAATAGGAATATCAGTAAGCTTGTACGTCGCCTGCACATGGCCCTGTCGCATAGTAATAACTCTGTATGACCGCACAGCCCCGGTAAGATATGTGTCATATAGGGTGGAGTAGTGAACAGGGTCACCTGACGACCTCACCTTTGGATATACCTGAACCATCCCACAACCATTAATATATTTGTTGTGTTGAAGTTTGAATGACTTTCTCAGTTCCAGGGTCCTCCCACAGTCACTGGCCTTCTAGCGGTACATAGCATAAAACACCCACTACAAGGAGTTGGTGGACATATTGACATTTCCCCATGCTTAAATGCATTATCTTCAGGCCAACACCGATATACCGTGAGAATAACCACAGGGAGAACCTTTGTGATCCCTTTCCCCTAATGCATAATAGTAAGCGGCTACAACCGATACCCTTCTCAACAGCTGACCCAAAGCAAAAAAGGGACATCCGGCACGAGAAGCAACAAAGGTTGTTGGACATGCCGCCTGAGACGAAAGAAGTGCGATGAAACGCATCCTTCGTGTCAGTCGTGTCAGAGTCTCGGTTTAGCCTGTCAGGGCTATGGGTCGAGGCCAAATTGGATGGACCGAGGGCCACTAGAGAAAGAGGAAGCCAAGAAAGTCAAACAAGCTATAGCCCAAAACGGGCAGAAGCGCCGGCGAAGACGGTCTTCCCATTCGCTATCCTTGTCTCAATCCGAGAACTCCATGACAGACGGAACCGCGAATAACCCTTCACCAGCCGTTGAAAACTTACCCGAAGCATTCGATCGAAAGAGTCCAACCCAAGGATTGTCGGAGAACAGTGGTCGCATCGAGGACTTGGGCTCAACGTTGCCATCAGTGAATGAGCTGGCGAGTGATATGCCGACATGGTCGTCGCAGATCCCATCGATCTCAAGCTCAGCCGCTGACTTTGCCTTTCCCTCACCGTTGTTCTCACCCATCACGCTGCCGGATGCACAACATGAGGCGAGCGAAACACACGCTCTCTTGGATAATTTCACTTTTCCCAGCGATATCCTAGCCGGCTTGGGCTCTTCAAAAGACCACCAGCTACCGGTTGTTGATTATGAGGGATCTGATGTACAAAGGCCAAACTACGGACTAGGGCTTTTAGCATGCAAGGAGAGCGACAGCGGTAGTTACATGCGCGTATCTGCCTCGAGGTCAGGATTGTGGCCTGACTCTGCTCTCAATTCCTATCCGCATCTGTCAGACGAACGGAGGAACGGTCCTCGCCAACGCATTCTCACAACCAATGAACCAACGACAGAAAGTATTGCTTTACTATCAAATTACCTCACAGAGATCTCTAGTATACAATTTCCCTTCACCCAGTTCACCAGAAATGGACGAGAATGGCTACACTACCTACTCTTACGCTCACAGACAGTATCCGACATTTCCTTGCTCCTGTGCAAAGCCTACCATGACCGAGGACAAGTAGCTGAAAACCTGTACCACCGCAGTAATTATGATGAAGTCACCAGCCAAGTCTCGGTAGCCCTCAAGAGCCTACCATCATCAACAGCCACCCTGTCCCTACTAGATGAAGAGCAGAAAGCCTCCCAGGCTCTCTTCGCATGTGCCGCGCTTCTCCAAGCGATTTATATAGATGTCAGTTCATGCGTCTTCCCCGACTTATAAACCGTAGGCATGCTGAGTCTCTTGAGATAGATACTTTATCAAGAAACGCGTCAGTGGAAAAGCTGTCTCACTCAAGCGGCCGCTTACGTCCAAGTTCTGATCAACATCATCGTCCGCGATGATAACATCAACCACCCGGTCTCAGTGTGTCGGCTCCAAAAAGCTACGGCAAAAGCAGTCCTAGGCCATCTGGTCTGGTGCGACATTTTAGCTACCGTCTCATGCGGCAGAGACCCATTTCTCGGCATTAATCACGCCTATCTCCTAGACTCCGAAATCATATCCATGGCCCCTGTGTGCGGCTGTCACAATTGGGTGGTCAAGGCGCTATACGATCTAGCGAGTCTCCAGCGCTGGAAGCTGCGGGCACAAGAAGGGAAAACGCTAAGTGTTATCCAGCTGGCGGCGCGCGCGAGTAACCTTCATGAGTGCCTGGTGGCTGCCATGGCTGAGAGCTCCAGTGCACCAGGTCAGGTGCGCCCTGGGCAGAGAGGTAGTTTTGACAGCCTGGTTTATGGGTGGGTCACCGACATGGACAGGGAAATCACTCTGTTGTTTGCCCGCGCTGCAGTTATTTATCTCCATGTGGTGGTGTCTGGTCCTAATCCGCATTTGCCTGAAATAGATACGGCAGTGAAGGAGTCCGTAGGGTCAATTCAAACGCTAGCAGAGAAACATCTACTACAGCATGTTTCATGGCCCTTGTGTGTCATTGCCTGTTTTGCCGGAGTGGATGAAAGACAAAGCGTGCAGGGCTTTCTTCGGGAGGAATCCAAGAACACTAGAAAGTGGTTCAGCACATCCCATGAGACGTTGAGCATTGCTCGGGAATGCCACAGACTTAGGGACCAAGGGCAAGACTGCGACTGGGTGGCTTCAATGGAAAGCTTGGACCATCGGATACTGTTACTTTGACTCATTTCGCTTAAATACTATGAAGCGAAATATCACGGGACCGTGGTTTTATTGTTCGGCCTAGGAATAAAATCTGACTCGCTAAGCATACGAATGCATTCCACTCAGTCGAAGCTGGCCAGGTTCGAACGAGTGCGCCGTCAGATCCCCGGCGTTCCAGACCGGATCAGTCCTGCAATCACCATGTCGATGGTGAGAATAATCCTATTTTAATCACCAGTACAAACCACCACACAAGCCGTCAGCCGACAATATTCGCGCGGGACTCCAACAGATATTTCCTAGGAGGCCATAGTTAGACTTTAAACCTGTTCCAGCCGTGGATGGTTCAGCAACCGTCCGAGTACTCCTGTTTGATTAATGCATTTGCGCTTTCCTGTTGTAAGTACCCTACAACGAACTGAGCACCCTGTACTATCATCCCTGTGATCCAAATATGGAAATCAGTCCTGCTGATTATAACAGTCTTTTTAATTGAATATAATGAAGCTATATCAGCTACAGCCATGTAGCTTACTGAGGACCTGCTGGACAAGAGTGAAATAAGCGCCTGGCCTGGTGTTGTGGAGGTGGGGGCCTGCTTCGGCTACCTATAGATGGGAGTGGTTGTCATTCTCCTCTATCCAGGCAGAAATATAGACTGCTGCACTATTGATTACTTGGGCGCGTTCCCAGTTTGAGCATATAATTTTGAAGGATGGATCCTGCACGATACCGCTGAATCCTTCAGACCCAGCAGCTGTACTAAGGTGCCAGCAAAATGTCTTTGACAGGCCAGCCTTTAGACACTTCGAGAAGTCTGTCCAGTGTTTTCCCGGTGTAGGGACGGAAGAGAAAGCGCGCAGGAGACTTTAGCCTGCTGCAGGAGCAGGTGTCCAGGTAATCCCAATGGTGGAATTATTCATGGTATCCTTCAAAATGTGTACCATAGGGGCATCAAATAACTGCCAATAGTGGCTCATTATGAATTTTGACGGTATTCCACCGCCCCGAACAGCGAAGGAGATTCCTCTATTCTCCAGCTATTTATCTACCGCTAATACTGCTCTCACTTGTACTCTTGGTGGACTAGCCTTATATATCTATAGTACATGTTATGTTGGTAGGGGCTTCCGTCTGGCGGCCTGGAGGCCCGGAAGTACGGGTTCTTCCGGGCCGCTAAGAGGGCCCACAACGCCTAGCTAGGAAGATAGAGAGCTTAGATAGACAGACATGAATTCATGAATAAATGGAAAAGTCCTCATAATCACGCGTTAAGATGGTATAAGCCCGACAATGTGTAGTTCTACATGTAGATGGGTTTCTTTCATACGCATTGTATGCTATTTCTTCCACAGTGTCTCCTTATACTGGATGCTGCCCATTTGGTCGGCGGCGTTCTAGTGTTCAGTTAGTATACCAAACAATCTTCCTTATTGGCTCTTTATTGGGTGTTGTGCTACGGCTAATATATGATGGTAGAAAGGCTGCAGGTTATGTCAGAAACTGATAGTACAATGGTATAGAATACTAGTCAGTGTCAATTAAACACTAGCTCTACATGAAATAACTTCTGTAGTGATTTAGTACTCTAACTGGGATATATCATACCTCTTCAGCTTTATGTAGTAGGAATCCTCCACATTAGAGTTTTAGACTAGTAGATCTAGGTTGAACTCTATTATTAATATTAAATACATAGATTTTACTTTCTATAATTATAATGCTAACCAGAGCCCTTATATCTCTATCTCTTCGTTATACAATGTAGCCCATGTCTCTGAGGTCAGAATTCAAACACTCCTACAGTACCGGATGATATTGTCCTCCATATCTAAAACAGAGAAATGCCCTGCTAAACCATAAACAAATGATACCATCAGCATAATATTTACATAATGAAAACTCCAGGTACTGTAATCACCATACAATAAGACTCTGAAGCAAGATACACGTACCCTTAGTTGACCTCGCTTGTACATCATCGCTCATTTAGGAAGTATGTTGGACGCCTAACATGCCACATATCCAACATACCACGCACCCACCCTACCGCATACGCGCTATACCAGTTTTGCTCTACATTAGTAAGCTTGTGTAAGTTGCATATGCAAACAGGGCACTTGCACCGAGTACACTATTGACTTCACTCAAAGGCACGAGTTTGATATAACAATTAACCTAGACAGGTCACAATGTATTATAGGTAAGCTCCGGCCCAATGTCCAAGTCTTTGTAAAGGAGTATAAGATGTATGAACATGGTTTGGAACTGGCTAATGGGCATTTCAGCCCGCTTCTTTGCGTATTTAAATCGTCCTTGCTTCTGTCTCATTTCTGTCATATCGTGTCACACGAACACTGTGGTGATGAGTAGACCTTAAGGGATCGCTCGCACACCCTTAGCAGTGTTGAAACATTGGGGCAGCATCAGGAACAATGTATGGAAAGGTCGCAGGCTACATATTGTGAAGCCCTGGTCCTGCTTCTTCATCCACCCTGGCAAGCTAGTCAATAACTAAAAACCGTATTTATTGAAAGGTATCAATGGCAAATAAGCCTGACAATGCTAGCTTCTTCAACCTACGGACACCTCCGAAGCGCATGCCCGATGTAGGCGTGTGCCATTATCAAAATGGCGATAAAGAGCAATGATTACTTACTGGACGAGTGCAAGGGGGTATACTGTGTCGTACAAGAAAAGGAAGTAGAGGTATAAAGAGAAATGATCGACCCAAGGGGCCCGAGTATATGAATGTTCCAACGTCATGTCTTGGCTTTGAGAGTAGGTATGCCAGCTTTTTGTCTCCTTACATTCTTGCATGCCTGTTATTATATACTATTGTATAATATTTTCCTTAGCTAAGCCATATAGACAAATAGTCACAAGGCGGCAAACCTAATGCGATGGGGGTACTAATATCTTGGTACAAATCAAACTACTTCATTGTATTTGGCGTTTTCAGGATCACCTTCTTTCTAGCGGAATAGGTTGAGGAAATTATTCTGAGCAGAAGGCAGCTCTGCCATGGTTGGGACCAGAAAAAAAGAACATAAGCAAGGATCTAAAAGCTATGAGTGAGGAGTAGGTAGAGAATGTGAAAGTCAAGGCTATGATATTCTATCTGCGAATCCATTTCGTCGCCCGAAATATGCATATGACATGTTTGTATTGGGGTCTTTGATCCATTACCCCAACGTCGACAACGGTATAAATGTGAGAATGTATCTCTCAGACATCGCCTTGATTTACTTGGAACATCTCACATCTTTCCTTGTTCTTGCCTACCAGTTTAAACTTTCTCGTATTCCACGCTAGGACAGAGCCATCCATACCTTCCTCCGACTATCTTCAATATGACAATCCAGCAGTACGACACAATCGGGGCAGCATACGGTGATGTACCGAATCTACCAACCGGAAGGCTGCAGGCGGCGGCACTGAAAACCTGTCTTGGGGATATCGAGGGCCTAACTGTGCTTGAACTCGCCTGTGGCCTGGGCTATTACTGCAGAAAGGCCGTTGAATGGGGTGCCAGCAAGGCCGTCGGCGTGGATATTTCCGAGGCCATGGTCGACGCAGCACGTGTATGTGCCAAAGATGACAGCCGGCTTGAGTTCCACGTTGCGGACTGTGGCCAGCCATTTGAATTTGGACAATTCGATATCGTCCTCGCACCTTGGTTGCTGAATTATAGTCGCAATCAGAACCAGCTTGTGGATATGTGGCGGAACATCTACAGGAGCTTGAAGCCGGGTGGCAGAATCATAGGAATAAGCCCGAATGTTCATATTCTGGAGGATCTCGCAGCCTTTCCCAAAGGCCCTCAGTATGGGCAGGAACTGAAGGTGGTTGGTGAGCTGGATGAGGGCGGCCTGGAAGTTCAAGTGACGCTGTTCGCGTCGAAGCCTTTCTCATTTAACAATGTTTATCTTCCTCGCGAGTTGTATGAGAAAACTAGCAAGTTGGCTGGTCTGTCTGCCTTCCAGTGGAAACATTACTCAAAGCCTCTCATGCATGATGTGGACTGGGATGACTTTTTGCGGTGCCCTCCGTTCAGAATCTTCACCGCTGCTCGTCCTGTGGGAGAGGTTGAGTGAGGTATGGGATTACCTTTCGATCAATTATTGAGATGACTTGACCTTTCAAGTAAGAATGTAATATCCGTGGCTAGAAGGAGCCTGCTGGCGGATTTAGATCACATGAATTGAGCTTGTTGCAGCATGTTTGACTTGGTTATTTGCGTCTGATCGTTCCTTTCAATAGATGAATCATATAAATCCCAAGGAAAAACCAAGACTTTCTATAAGGAGGGTAGCTTGTTTAGTAGATCACTTCACACTATACGACGAACCGTTCAGTTAAGCTTTGAGTATTCATCTTGAAATCTTCGATTAAAACTATTTCTAATATACATATGGAAAGGGTTATGGACCTAGGATATCTTCGCACAAACAAAAACACTTTCTATTTGTGGTAAACGTTTGAATACCTTTATTCAGTGATACAGTAAGTCCTGAGCCATAGTCAGAGTATGGTTACACGTAAGACCGTTTTTAGCATCACAATCCGTAATTTCGCAAATAGATAGACCCACCATCACTTTTACCTACCACTGCAATACCGCAAGGGTGGGTACATTGCACAGCTTAAACGGGATTACAAGGGCGTAGGCCATCAGTGTCACAGATACTATAATATGATAAACAAAGACGAGCTGATGCATATACTAACTCTTGCTCAACCCACATGCTTAGCCCTAGTTCCAACATAGCAAAATTAAGAGAGAGAACTTAAGCGCCACCTGCTCCAGCCCTGATATTGGCTCGCTTGTTCTGTAGGAGATTAGTACAGACAAAAGGAGCGTAAATCTAAAGCTTACTGCTAGAAAAATTGCGCAGGCGAGGCTAAGGGCTGCGCCAACGTAGACACACGTAAACCTTTTTCGATGCATGAGTATGATAACCAGCACGACGATCGAGCAAAGAAGGATTATATATAACTCACACGTCACGCCATGCAAGCACAATGATATCCAGCGCTTGCTCTCGGATGTGCCTTGGTAATGTACTTAAAAGTCCACTGCTGGTCCCTGATACGATGCGGGAGACCTGTGCCCGGGGAAGCTTCGGTAACAATTCGTATAGACGGTTTTGAGCGACATTAACAAATGTGGCACCCGTAATGGACAGGCCAAGTGTCATTCCGGTAAGTTGAGCTATCATAATGTTAGCGGTCGGTGTAGACTACTTCACCTGGGGCGAGTCGGTTCACCAAGTATCATTAGCGTCAATCCGTCAGCGCTGTCCGACGGGGGTGTAACGGCTTGGATCACAGCGAATGCTGCTTGAGTATATAAGCCGGCACCTAATCCTAGAACCAGTTCGAGGCCGTATAGGACGCTGGGAGACGTGTGTGTTTCCACAACAGTAGCTTTGTTCTTTGTACTCAGTCATAGCTTGAGGCTTGTTGCAGGTTTACTTCACGTACACATTAAGACTGCTGGAATGAGTGCAAGGACACTTCCGGCCAAATACCATGGCTTATAATACCCCACCCGGGACATCATGATCCCACTTCCCTGAATGGCCACGACTAACATGCAGATGAAGGGGAGCAGCCGGACAGCAGATATGATTGCATTGTCACCTTTCGTGTATTGGAAGTAGATCGGAATGTAGTACACACTCGGGTAAGTTACTATACCCGCCGAGGCACATGCAATAAAAAGAAGAGCAGGTTCCTTTAGCTTAAGTAAATGTATGGGGAATAACCGGTTGTCGAAGGAGGTGATAATCGCGAAGCCCTGCTGTAAAACGAATGTTATCCATAATATACCTGACAGAACGAAAAGAGCAATGATCTGTGCCGCTTTCCAGTTATACAGTGTTCCTCCAAAGTTGATGCCCATCACTAGAGTTGTGAATGCCGCAACACTGAGGATAGCTCCGACCCAATCAAAATTAGTAAGCTTCTGTTGGGATGATAGCTCCGGCTTTACGGAGTTCGATGGGATCACAAAAATATATAACGGAAGAAGGATGATGCCGAATAGTAAGTTGATATAGAAGGCCCACCTCCACGTATACAACTCAAATCCACCACCGACAACGGGACCGAGAACTGTTCCTAGGCCCCAGACTAGCCCACTGTTGCTTAGTTAATTGTAGTTCGTCAGGTAAAAGCCCGATAGATATACGTACGTTAAACTGAGATACTGTGGACGTTCACGGCTCGTTGTATTCAGCGATAGCAGCGTTAGGACACCAATATACATTCCATTTCCACCTACACCAGCAAAAACTCGTCCAACAATCTCAACATCGATAGTGGGAGCGGCGCCGCAGAGTGCAGAGGCCGCCATAAATATGACTGTGAAAATGATGTACAGCCATTTGGCGTTGTAGAGAGTATATAGTTTGCCCACAATGAGAACCATCGCCACGGCGCCAATCATAAACCTTTGTAATACATAGACCTATCAGCAAGCTGTTGTATACGTTTGGGTTACGACACGACCTACCCAACTGACATCCATGGTAAATTCTCCACCGACTCAAAGTGGTTCACAATAGCCTGCCGAGCGCTGATGAGCTGTTTAGAACATTTGAAGAGCAAAGAGGGACCTAATAACGCACCGGTGCAATATTGGCTACAATGGTGTTGTCCAATGCGTAGAGGAAGCTACCCGTCAAGGTGCTGGCCACCAGCAGGAACCACTGCAATAGTCAACAAGGACAACTGTACTCTCTGGGCAGAACCAACCTTGATCCCAGTAATTGGCCGCTTCTCCTCCTGATAGAGAGAGTACTCCCTCTCAACATCATGCTCGCGATGCTCAAGGCGCTCAAGGCGCTCTGGCGGTGTTACATTCGCCATAGGCATACGGTCTTAATTGATATTTGTCGGTCGCTGCTCCTCACGACACTATCTAGCAAGAACAGTAAGCCGTAATTTGGTAGAAGCCACCAAAGCTGTGTTTTGTATTTGTTTGTTTTCCAACTCACCGACATTCCTGATCCCGTCATAAACTAAATATTAAGATATGTCGACCTGGCGGCCCCCTTGCGTAAGTGTTCGGATGGTAGGATGTCGGGGGCATGATGGCAGATAGATACCAATGAAACGCGTGGGACTTGGGCAGAAACAAGTCATATGCCATGATATATGTGAATGTGAGCACAGGGTTTCCATCCCTCACATCAATCTCATTTAAGTTATAAAATGATAGTACATGGCTAGAAACCTTATTAAGGGGGCGATCGACGGACGGGCCGCCTTAATAGCTCTAACCGGATTGGAATTAATCCTATTTTTAAGTTCACTTAGGAGCTTGACTCTTCTATATTAGAGTTATTAGAATACTTTTTAACCCCTAGAGATATTTTTCCACTTTGAGTTATCTGGGTTTAGCCTTTATTTTGAGGTTTCTTTGAGAAAGCGATATCCATAGACCATAACCTCCGACTAAAATTATATTGGCTATCTCTAAGGCAGTCAGAGCGACCGTTTATGCCCCACCCTAGACTAGTCAGAATGAGTACCATGGAGGCATCAAATGGCGATACCAGTAGTGACCTCGACAGCCGTCGTAACGAGTAAAGGACAGGTATCACATTCGGCAATCCAGACCTTAATTTGAAGTGGAGCTTATTATTTGCATTTGTAACCTGTTCTGTTTTCCAGTTGTTGGACAAGTATCCATTGCACTATGAGCCAGTGGAGGATCTCGTGAGAGATGCGAGGTTGAGTGAGGTTGTAGCAGATATTTCTTTCAATTGTAGTCTTGTTTGGATTTGGATATTAATGCCAGCATAGGCCGATATGTATAGGTATCTATATAGAATATTTGAGAATTGAGATTCTGACTGTCCATCATCATGCTTAATACTATATGCAAAATATTTACCACTGTCCAGTCTACATGGGTTACCTGAGATAAACCACAACCCCTGAACCTTTGGATGTATAGGACAGAGGATAACCTATTCTAGCTATATTACTACAAAGTAGTCGGTGGAGACAAAAAGCAATAAAGCATGCTACATTAGAATGTTTAGGACGGATACCCGATATCTGATCGAGCAACGAACCAGAGAACTTAGCTTTCTGATGTTCCAATCAGACATGAGAAAGTGTACTATGACTGGCCTGCTCTTCTCCACGTGTCAGCTATAGGTCTACTATCCACGCTAAATTGTATTGTACTGTGTAACCAGACGCTCTACTTAATTTCTCATCGACATCTGCCATGTTAGGCCATAATAACTGATATCCTATATAATTCTAACCATCCTGCAGGCTAAAAGGTTCAATCTAATTTCATTTCATCTTTCTCAGTATCATTTACCGCACCATATCTTCATCAGGAGCTCGACAGCTATGCGAGTGAGTCTCTAGCCTATCGCTCAATAACGTCTTGCAAGACAGTCACGAAGGCCAAGTATCTCATTCTACATGGTCCGGCCTATATATTAGTAGGAGCGCATGTGCCCTGGTTTGAATATGCCCTCTGGGGCGTATTCACCTCTCAGGTATCTGGATATTGTTGTGCTTTTGGTTGGCAGAAGGTATCACTTAACCAATTATATATCCAAGATTAATAGTGATAGAGAACGATTCCTCTCTACGTTGCACCGCTTAATAGTACATTTATCCACGCTTCCGAACTATAAGACTACCGCCGCGAAGCACCCATCCACTCCAACACCATCATTGTGCTTTCTCACCTTGCTGCTCTCGAATACTGGGCCGGAACGGATAATAATACTACAAGCGGTGGGGCCATCCTCCTAACTAGGATCATTGGATATGAAACTGGCCCGCATGTTGGCCAAGGAGTCTACGGCGGTGAAATCCTTGACTACTGTTGTCACTTTGGGACTATCTTTGGTCCTACTGCCGCAGTTGTAGCTAGGAAACTCTTCAACCTACCTGTTAACTTAGCTTGTTGCTGTTCCAGAGTGAAATAGGGATATCGTGATGGCCTAATATCAGCGGATTCATCTAGAGCTGGATGAAGACGGCGAGAGCAAGACGTATACAGAGATGGTAGGAGCACCGCGAGGGGATCGAATGCCCCTGACTAAGCAGGAGATTTTGAACAAGTGGCGACAGATAACAAACGGAGTGATTAATCTAGAGATAAAGGAGGAATTTGAACAGTTGGTGCTGGGTCTGGAGAAAATGCACAACATGGCAGAGTTGGCGACGATTTTACATCCTACGCGCGAAATTGTTTGGCATGAAGTTAGTTGTTCCTCAAGATCCAGATAGTGCGCCGCCATTTTTGCTGTTGTAATTGGTTGTCCACTCGCTTCCACTCTCTTCCTCAGTACTCTCGACTTCATCTTGAATCTTAACCTCACGCAGTTCTAGGCCATATTTGGCCTGTACTTCTTGCTTGGCATCCCGTAAATATAAATCCCGTAGAAATACTAACTTTTTCATCAAAGTATAAGAGGACCCAGAATGTTGATGACTGGCTCTGACTATGATAACGCTTTTCAATGTCCCACCAGAGTAAATGCAGCGTGGCTTTGACATCGAGGCTTTCAGACTCTATGTGTTCTTTGGATGCGCTAGAAGGACGGACTTTATCAGATCCCTGGTCATTTCGATAGCTATGTACTAATTGTTGTGTGGCCCGAGCATTGACCACTTCCATATACCGGTGCACATACTTTATACTTCCTTTCGGATAGACACAACGCCTCCAAGGCCCCATCAGGCAAACTCCCGAGGGATACCACTCGCTTCCACCATGCGCAAGTATCGCCCTGCGGTCATCGCGCGCAGTTGTTTGCCCCAAATCATCATCGGAATCACAGTCAAATGCGCAATAAGACCCATCGCCATCATCTGGATGTAGGCATTCCCGTAGCCCGAGTGGATCAGCCACGGTTGCACTGCGAATACGAATGTCATGCCGATCAGATTGCGGAAGATATTAATCAGTACTAAGGATTCCGGTGCCACCGCCCGATACGAGTCGAGGATATATGTCTGCGTTTCATTAACAGCTGAAGGGATATTGAATAATATTTAGACGACTGAAATCTTACCTCTCCAATAATCGAAGATGCAGTGAATCCGAAAGCCATTAGCCCCATTCCGAACACAGGACATATCCAGTGGACTCCGGCTTCCACGCCCTTACCGTACATGACTAAACCGCCCGAAGTGATGACGGCAGTCAGGGCTAGGAGGATAAGCCTGTGCTCTGGTTCTCGAATACCATTGTTGCGGCGCGCGGCAACGATGATGAACCAGTCGCTCACATTTCCTGCGAATACAGTGCCTAGAATGGAACCGATAAGGGCGGCGGAATTGGTAAGACCTACTTTCTCGCCACTCCATAGATAAGGTGGGCCGGTGAAGAACTCTGTCCTAGATTAGCGAGCTGGGTTAGGGGGGGGGGGATTGGAAGCAAAGCTACGTACGGGACTCAGTCGTGAAGATCGCAGCCCACCAGCAAATCGAGACACCGGTAAATACACCTGCCCAGAGAACAGGTGGAAAGAAGGCAAGTTGGTAGGGACGAAGAAAGAGATCGCGCCAGCTTTCGCTGGGATTCACACCCCATGAGTGCAGCGGATGAGTCTGCCAGTAGGGCTTCATCTTAATCGCATTGTCGACATATCCAGTTTCGGTCGGTTTACAACCCTTCTCGGATGGAGGCTCCCTGTTTCCTTCGTGTGGAAGCGTCGCCCGGGGTGTGTTGTACGATCTAGGGTAAAGCGTTTCCTCCAGGGCGAAGAAAAGGACCAGGGCTAAGACAGCCTGATAATGTTAGCATCGTAGTTCAATTAATGGCTTAAGGTGTTTTAAGTGTGGGTGAGGATACTTACAAAGCCGATCGCAGTGATCCAGAAACACCACCGCCAGCTCAAATCTACATACACATAACCTGCAACAAGCGGCTAACCTGGTCAGTTTTGCGGCTGTACCTTTCCCAGGAGGGGGTTCCCTTACGACCACGAAGGCACCGGCGCTGTACGAAAGGGCCCAGTATCCAACTTTAGATCCCATTTGGTGAGCAAAGTAAGTGTCCTGCAAGGAAATCTGGGGAAGACCCTCCTTTGGACCGCATCCAAGACCCTGTGTGGATTAGTTCAATTCCAGAATTGAAGGTAAACAACTCAGTGATATCGCACCCAAAATACATTAAACGTTACCCAAACTCCCCAGTTAGTTTGAACAGCTCCAATGATACTGCCGACCATGGCGATAAGAAGTCCCATGATATATACCGGGCGACGGCCGATCTTCATCGCGACAGGTTGCCAGAAGGCCGCTCCAACGCCACTGAACAGGAATAGAATAGCGCTCCTACATTATCGCGTCATTATAAGCCGGGTCATTCCAAAAACTAAAGAGACACACACACACCCCGTATTCAACCCATCGAAAGTTGTGTTCAGATCTGGCGCGAGGCCGTCATACGCGACACCATAGAAATTGATCCTGGGAGTAATCAGCTTCGGCTGCTCCAACGAGGTAGAGGTACGTATCAAGGGTTGAGTACAAGCCGTTCATGAAAAATGTATAGATGCATATTAGAATGAGATGCTGCTTCTTCCGCGCTGGTGACCAGTTCTATTGCCTGTTAGAGTACTTTGATATGGCAATTTCACAAACGATATCCACGTACTAGAGGATCATTTGGGTTGTCTGAGGGAGGTGGGATGAGGACAATCTCGGTGTGCTTTCCGGCCGCATGTTTTGTGGATTTCTCACGTGTCTCTGTTGGCAACCGTTATCACATTATAAGTATTTGCTGTTTGAGAAGGTCACCAAAAGAAAGGAAAACAACAAAAAAGAAAAATTAAACGAAATAGGATAAAGAAAAAGAAGAGTAAGAGCTAACCATCGACCAAAAGAAC